ATGGTCGGGTCTGGCTAATTTTTAGCGGGTCGCTCAAGTCTCATTCTGGAAAAAAGCATATGATGGCACCGATTACATACGTACTTTTTTTTTAAGTGAGTTTGTTCTTTCCATCCCATAGAGCTCGATGTTACTTTACGTAAATTGACAATTGCTTGACAACCGTTGAGATTCGTAAAAAGCTTATAATACGAGCTCATGAAACGAATGTAAAATTTAATTTTTAATTTTTTTTTTGGCAAGGATTTTTAATGTTTCGCATTTTTACGATCTAATCGTAAAGTTGCTGATTTTAGGCCGAACCAAATTTCAAAAACTCGGTACGACAGCAGATTGGCTAAGACAGCAACGCTGATCAGCGCAGAGAGTCTTCCGATAGAGAGCTATTATAGATTTACGTTCCAGATTTTACTTTCACTCTTTGTAAGAATTATGCATTGTTATAAGTTACTAAAACAAATAGTCTTGTCCTAAATGATATAATAACTAAGACAACTTAGCTTTAGTCGATTCAAAAAGGTTTATTAGCATAGGAGGATAAACACCTCTTTGCCCAGTTATACGTGATAATCTATATATCCGTGTTTCTTTGAAGGCTCTGTTTTTCGAGAACGATAGAGATCTACATCTCACTTCCTGAGTTAGCTTCTTATTAAAGCAGATTAGACGATCGAAGATTCGAATGCCCCTAATACACAGTTAAAGGCCGAGTTCATTTAAGAACTTGTACAGACTATCAAACGTACCATCTTGACAACGTATTCACTGATCTCATACAGCTGTCTCCTAATGAACACGGTCGATCCTAGTGTACTAATGAGCTATTCGGGATCATTGCTGTTAACGCACAAATGTAAACACTCCGCCTCCAGCTGGAAGGAACAAACGATCCGACTCGCTGAACGAGCCTGCGTCAAGCTATGTCACTTCGTTTCGCTAGAGCTGCATATGGACGCGGATCGGTGAGGCTTTTGTGAGCAACTGTTAATTCTTATATAAAGAACAGGGGCAGGATGTGAGAAGGAAAGCGAACGTAGGATCGAAGCGTCGATAGAAGGTTCTGTAGGCAAATATCTTCCTACTTAGCCATTTAGGGATAGGTAAAGGATAGGAAAGGAGACACAAGCTTGTCGAAGCCCTAATGCAGATAGAGTTTTATATATATATATATATACATTTACATACGAACACCGAGGACTCTAACAAGCCGCACCTACACCATGTCGGTGGTTCATAAAACATTCAGTCAGCAATTTTCAGAAAATATAATCCATGAGATTTTATTAGTGGCCCTCTGGAACAGCTTATGGCTCTTGGCCGTGTTAACGTTAGCGTAAAAGTGGCGCCCGGCAGTGTAGCATAATCTGAGATAGTTAACCTTGTATCCAAGACAGAGGTTCGGAGAAGTGCGGCTCTAAATCTGAAATCGACATGGAGAAATATTGACCACCAAATCCGAAATAAATAGTTTATTTACGTTCAAATAACTAGCAACATAATCGACAAGAGGTTTCTTACAAATGATCAATCAAACAAAACCATCAATAGATGGTTTTGTTACGAGACGATGGTTGTTGATCTCCAACTAAAAACCAGTACAAGTTTAAATATCTTAGTATTTCCTCTCCTCAGTAATATCGGTTAAATGTTGGCCAGAATAATTCCGGCTATGTCTTGTTAGGCCTTTTTTTTTTTAATAAAGAATAGTGTATAGAGCAATCGAGAATAGTGTGGCCTTCAGCGCTATGCAACTTACAGTCAATTCCCAATTACGTGTCGCTACCAATATGTAGTTTATATGTGTATAATAAATAATGATGGATTCGTTGAGTAATACTAAACAACTGCACCCAAGCTTATCCAAGAAGCCAAACTAGATGGAACTGGGTCAGCTTTGGAAAGCTCCTTTTTAAGTGACGGATGCTTTGTTTAATATGGAAATGTTTGTGTATTTATTTGCTACGATTAAATTTATGGCATATACATAGTTGTCGAGAAACATTAAAATATTATGTAGCTAAGGGTCAACTATCCTCTGCCTTGTTTCGAGTAACGCCATAATCCCGTCACTACAGAACCTGAGGTAAGTAATTTTGCATTTTGTCTGCCGAAACTAAACGCGCACTTTTGAGAGAGTTCTGCAGAGGGTTGTGCAGGATCCAACCTGGATGGCGGATATATTCTCTCAATTTTTGCTCAGGAGGTAAAGAGGTGTGTGATCTGGCATTATCATAATGGAAGACGGCGTCTTCTCTGGTCACTGATTCCGCTTTGTTTTTTCCAGTGGCTTTTTTTTAATCTTGTTTGTTGTTGAGAGTCAAATGAAAGATTTTTTCACTCATTGTATTTAGTTCCATGTACCTGATCTGTTTCCTTGGCTGATGTTGTCAATGTTAGCAATCGCGAAGATGGTCATTTCATTTGCTATCGATCTACAAGGTCACTCTGTTCCTTTGAAATCATACTTTTGCGCAAAACTAGTCATTGGTGAAAGAATACAATACCTAACATTGCGACACTTATGTTATTTTTTTATTATTATAATTATGTTAATTTACTATAATTTTTACGCGCCAAAAATAATTTCCTCTGTGAAATAATATTTGTTCTCTTTGATATACTGGTCTTTATAGAAGTGTAATTATACTTAATGTATTACAGCTGGGCTTCTGAAACTTAAACAAATGCTATTTACTCAAGAAACAATAACAAAAAGCTTAAAAGTTTGTGAGCTATGTATAATCGAAGTTAAAATCTCCTCGTCCATAAACAAGTGCTTCCGTGCATATATTTTTATTTATTTATTCAAATTACACTATACCAGCCAGTATCCATATATTAAAATAGCATTGCGTGTTTGTGAACGTATATCAAGTTAGTTATTCATCTCAAAGCTTTTGTAACAATCACACATCTTCCCGGTGCTTAGCCATGTTTAGTTGGTCGGCCCCAGAAGTAATAGCATTTGCCTGCTAATTTTAAGAACACGTGGTGGTCTAGGTTTGAATCCGGACATAGACACAATTTGCTTCATCCTGGGAATCCAATCGTTTGATAAATAGTCCCACGGCGATGCCGGACGTAATATAGAGCGTAATATAGAGAGCCCTAAAAAAGTCCTATCATAGGCACAATTGCTCTCAAAGGCCAGAATCGATTGATAAGGTCCGGAGGCTTACTCCGGAAGCACCGTAGCACAACCACAAAACAGATAATTGGGCCACTGGCGGTGCGGCGAAATCAACAATTCATGGAACGTCTTAGATGGCCCATTCATTAAACCTTCTTTTTTTGGAATAATGCCATTTGTTTATATCATAGCGATGAAACTAAAAATCCTATTATTATCTTGCTCGGTCCTTTAAACATCGTTTGATGCTGGGGTAGATTCTGTAATACACTCGGTATATTATAATAGGTTTCGAACAACATTTTGCTGGAGGGTTCGCTTTATTAATAACATGAATTGTTGCTAAATATAGTTTCCTATTTGAAATAGGTCACCATAAAATACATATTATGCTACATTGCCATTCTAATAATTATCGTCTGAATTACAAATCATCGATAGTAAATTTTATTTTTCCAAAATCTTTTTCACAGCGATACATGCCTTCTTTACTTTCAGTCAGAGCATGTACCATACTGTAACTTGGATAGTGGCGTATTTATTCCATTGTTTTATAGGTTTCGGCTAAGCTAGTCTATGGCTCAAAGGCAATTTTGACATCGTGTTGAGATTTGGCTTACTTTTCTATCAAGAAGTTGTCGTGACTTCGAAAACATAAACTACATCTACCGCAGCAATGTGTAGCAAGTGTTTTGAATCACAGGTGGCACTATTGTGCCGTTGAAGTAGTTCACCTACTTTCACTGGCTCTGCTATTGAAAAAATACGTTTCGGCTGCTTTTTCTCTCACAGATTATTAAAGTGGAACGGAAACTATCTCAAACCGAGCACCGGTGCGTTTTGCTAGCAGGCCCAAGTAAAGCCACGTTGAGTGGAATCGAAGATGCGTAAAGGCCGCTGTCGTTCTGCATCGTCTGTTGATTAGGCTAACGATCGTATCTCCTACGTGATCGCACTACGACACTCTTCCGACACTGATAGTTATGGCGAGCACCGTTAAGCGATGCTTACCGCTATTCAACTTCAATTTCTGAAGCTGAAACCTCCCACCTATACTGATCATAAAGCGAAAATCTCAATATCAATTCATTTCGACCTGTAAACGCGAAAAGTGCAAGCTCTCTACGTGCCCTCTGAGGTCTAAAACCAATAAGGTGTAGAAAATTGTTGACTATATATAGCGATCGCAAAGGCATAGCTTTGAGTACCTATGAAGCTTTAACTCTATTAATAAAATTAGCTCGTTTAAGTCTATCTAGATTAGGTACTACCAACTCTTCTTACTTGCCGACCGATTCTTTGTTCTCTCCTTGTCCCGTAGCAGTTGAGTTATTTCGGAGCTATATTAGGATCGTCACTTTATAGTAATTAAAATCAATTACGTCAAAAGGCACTATTTCTATCTTTTAATGTTAGAACGATATAGCACTGTAAGTGGGCCGGCTTCAAGCTGCGATACAAGGCTGCGTATCGAGCCCACGATAGCCCGGTCAAATGCGAACGCCTGATTTGGCCTACAGCTGCAAAGGCGTTAGCACGTTGATGCATCGATAGTGACATGTCTGTTTTTTGTTTAGGTCATGGTGTTAATTTTATTGTGATGATCTCAGCAATTTCTTACAGCAAGATTTACAACAACGCGTACAGGGGTAAAGACGACCAAATGCAACAAGGGGCATTAAATGACACTTTACGTCTTTGCTCGATTATAACTGCCGCGTGAAATTAGGTAAAAACAGAATCCTCTAAAATAATTGAATGTATCGACGTATATATTTTCTTAGCTACAGCGACATCTCAACTTAGGATTGTTGAGACGAAATTCTCCAACGATCTAGCTAAGGTATGAACAGCCAAAAAGAACCGCTCCTTTCAGAGAAGGTATGCTGCATGTTTATTTGACTGCTTACGATTGACACGAAACGCATGTAGATTGGATGTATTTTGGAGCATTCAGATCCATACTTTGAATTTGATCGTTGATTAAATTTACGGAAAATGCGCGGCAGAAACGCTAATAACAACCGTTTAGGACCTACAAAGTCCAGGAAATACTGCTCTTCATTTTTCGGTCATGTTGTCATAAACTTAGTCGGGGGAATCACACAGGAGACTTTTGCTGGGCCACGCGCGCTTCTTGGGCTGCCACCGTTGCCACCTAAACGCCAATGACATAAACATGTATTATCCTGAATGAATAAAACTGTTAATGTGCTATTTTTTTTTTTTAGCTTGGTTTTGAACATCAGTACATTAGCCTGCAATGAATCGGCCTGGTACTTACCTTACGTTAGAATGCACAGCGGCATATGGCCTATTGCCAATTGGCCAATTTATTTAGCCCTGTTTTTTTTTTTTTTTTATTGCTTTTTTGACGATCACTTGGCTTTCAAACAGTTCATCGGTAGCAAATGAAATCCCATAGACTGTTAGATTGCGTTTGTGGTGATGCACGTCCACTAACTGACTGAGCGGAAACAGGGAACAATGAGTCCTAAGGTAAATAACGTTTAGCTCTCAATAATAAGTCATTACTCAATCGTATCATGCGTAGAAGTAATTCAGCTTTTTCGACCCACGAATGTACGCCAACTCTATCTCTTTGCTTTACAAAACCGACCTCTGGCAATGACTACAAAATTAATATTGCCATACCTGCATAAAGATGGCCACCGCAATGGCGACTGTTATAGCAGTTAGCTTCGTCATGGTTATTTTCGGCTGCACTCTGTTAGAAGACCTGACAGCAAGTGATCCGCCTGTTCGGTGCGATGGCCTCTCAACAGGATTGTCCTACAGGCCAACGTCACTTCAGGCCCGAATTTCATAACAGCTGTCGATATAGCATCCTGACCATTGGTGCCCTAGTAAAATAACCGTTGACTCACGATCGTCTACCAATAAATTGTGTGCGTTTGACAGGTTTGTGTAGGATTGGCGCTTCCAATTCATCAGAGGATAAAGGCCATATAGGCCTGATTCGAAGAAGGAAACCGCGGGATAATCTTAAGGCCGCTGTGTGTATCTTGTAGAATATAATTGCATTATTTCACATACGGTGTGAGGCCAAGAAGCTAGCTATCCAGGCCAACGTGTCCGCTTATTGTGAAATATATAAAATATTCATCTGTTGGAGAGACTAGTACATGGCACAGGCAAGAAGTCGTTTAATATAATAATAAATAAGTGTCGTTATATGGGGTAGACAAAAGAAAATCGGTGAAATTGAAGCATTCAAGGGGCTTTTCTTCACGATTTACTCTCAACGCGGTACCTTGTTCTGGCCCTGGAAACCGGCAGCCTAAAAAGTTAGTTGTGGCGAGTTTTTGTTAACAGTTTTCAAAAGCTAACCTATTTTACACGTAAAGGAACTATCCGTCTAATGGTCGGCATTTGTTAGGCGTCGGTAATTATTACAACACCTGTTTCGGTGTTTACGTTCAGATACGAGCTGAATATAAAAAAGAAAGCGGGATGGTTAATTTACGATGCCACCTCTCTATGTTGATATGCTAGTTCAGCTTTGCGGGGTCCAGGACGCTGTTTGTCAACTTACAGCCACAGCATGAGAATCGGCCACAGCTGGGCACCTAGAGACTACTATCATAGCTATTACATCTCGCACCGCCATTACCCCCCTCGGTTTCCAATCGAATCGCTTATCCTACATAACCTCATATCAGAAAACACACATGAATTTATACACGAAAAATCGTTTTACAAGTCACTATTGTAGGAATCATATGAAAGCAGCGCTCTATTGAAACAACAATAATTAGAAAAAGCTATTCATAATTATCGACAAACACTAACAAAATGATCTTTTGCAAAAAGATTACATAAGTTATGCAAGAATCTAAATTAAATATAACGTAAGCCCATTTCACTGAGGGCCAATAGGCGTAATTATCGTATAATACATAACTATCCCCGTTAATCATGTGTAAAGCATCTTTTGTACTGTTTTCTTAAATAAATATTGCGCAGATTCCCTTGTCGATAATAACACATTGGGTGTATGCAATACAAAAGCTACGTATCGTAAGTTGGAACTTTCACTGCTTAGATTATCCAATCTATAGCTGGCTATAAATTGTGTTAACGTTACGTAACTGATACGTCTTCGTTGCCTTCTGCGCTGTTAATCTAGTTTATGAATAAAGTTTCGATTGCAAAGTAAATGCTATTAGGGGCGCTATATATTAGTAACACAATACCCTAGCCTTTTTTTTTTTGTTTGCTGTAACAGTGCTCAAGAATAACGTCGTTTATAAACAACATTTCAATCCAAGTGTTAAAATATGATACTTTGTTTGCCGGGTAATCTGACTAGCCAGTTCCGATAATGTCCTCAATGCTGCAGCATTGCTTGAATTAAGTTAGATACCTATTGGTGGATTAAAGGGGCCTGGCTACCTAACGCTCTGCCATCGAAATGAAAACGACAAGCTTTATCTCGTGTGGTTCTCAAAGGAGAAGGTAGCTCGCATTCACTTACATCGGGTCGTGACGTCGTACAGAGAAGCGTGACCTATAAATAATTTATCAGTACGATCACATATGCATTGTAAGTTTCTTTAAAATTACTAAAAAAAAGCCCAAGCGTAGCGGTCTACAGGTGGACGATGAATCAAGGCTAGAGATCCATGACGATGAGTGCGTTTGTAATTCCATGGAACAGTATCTATTCCAAAATAAAAAGAAAGTATCTAAACCTTCTTTTTTTTTTTTCAAAGCTTTAATGTGATAATTTTTTTTTCTATATATAATACAGTAACTCCACTCATTATGCACAGATTTCACTAGTTTTTTTCTCGGTTTATTTCACTAGTAGTGAGTAACACACATTACGTGCTGCAGTGACGTAAATAATTAAAACTAGCGTTTGTCCAGTAAAATGCCTATATATATATATGCAGTAAGTTCTGGTCATTGGATAGCGAATCTACAGCACTGGATGAGCTGTTTCAACCCGTAGAAAAGACGCATTCGAAAAAAGTACGGACTAATTGTTTGGCACAAGTCCGTATCCATTGGCGATTAACGAATGAACATTTGTTATTTGTATAAATACAACATATCGTTTTATCAAAACATTCACAAATGAAATCGAACTTAATCCTTCTACATAAGCTACAGGTTCCATATAAGAGCTATAAGCTTCCATTGAAGATTTCTACAACTGCCTTCCTTTTTTTTTTCTATATACAGATAAAAAAAAAAATACGAAAGTTCTGTTTCACATTATGCTAAACACTATCTTTCGCACGCGTAGACGGAAATGCGTTTAACAACCACAAAATAATAAAAGCATTGACGTTCCTTGTGGACGAATCTGTCTCCTAAATGCTATTGTCAGCAACAAACAATTCGACAGGCTCATATGTTGACTGACATTCGTTCGAGATTAAGTTCCTGATATTTCTCGTGGCCTATTCCGGCTTCATGTAAATCTTTGCGTCGTAAAACCGAAATCTGAACAATAGACACGTGTATTGGTATACGACTTCTTAACTGACGCTGCACCTCGGCCACAGACATAACTCCCGTGTCCTTACCATTGACCGTCGCCAGAATATCTCCGTAAAATATCGATTCTCCAGTTGCTACGGTGATTTGTGACGAAACACTTATAATGACATGATTCGGCACAAATTCCTTCGTGTCTGGATTCCATAATTTCAATACGTGAGTCCGCATGAAGCCTTTCATTGGCTTCACTGCTGTAAGGGTCAACTCGACGGGCACCTTCGTCGTCACTATTGACAGCGCTGTGTTGAAATGAGCATGCGCAAAGCGAAATATATTATTTGCAAACACCTGACAGTGGAATCGTGTCGTTCCTTTCTTTTTAATCAGGTCGTCCAACGTTTTATATAGTTCCCTCATTCCGTGGGCGTGTAACCGAACGTTTTCAATGGTTACGACAATATCGCCTAAAACAGTTCGAAACACCATCGTTTTTATGAAGCTCAAAGTCACAGTAATCGACCTATTATGGCTTTATCGTAACGTTTAACTTAACGCCTTTTCAAGCGTTATTATATGTATATGTACCTTCAACAAAGCAACTTGAATAGATGTAATGATTTCCCATGGTGTTCACGTTTAGGCTAGGTTGAGTATCATCTCCTACATGTACTTATTCTCCTAGGTCCTTACTCTAGATCAGCTAGGATTTTTTTCGTTGCTGTGTAGCACGAACAGACGAAGATACCGTTATGAACATATGAGCTAGTCGAAGCATTTCAACATTGAATATGCTTTAGCATAAGGTCACGATTCGGGCTTCGTTATACAATATGTAAATGCGTGCACCGTAACAATGAGTAAAGGCAGCTAGAACCTAACATGCGTCCCGAAAGTAAACCCGCATTTCCTTGAAGTCCAGGAGTGGATCTAATAGTTCGATGTAGTACATACATACATACACTCGTTTTAAAAGATGCTTTCGAGACACATACATTACCCGTACAGCTTACCACGATCGCAAAGTGACGCGGTATCAGTTCTGAGAAGGATCCAAGTTGCAGTCATTATCTGACTGACTGACTGACTGTCTGACTGACTATGTTAAATGATACACGTTTACCTGAATTTAGCGTACATCAATGTCAAACGAGTTAACAACGATTACTGAACCGAAGTTTACCGCACCGAAAATAACTTCTGTGGGATTCTCCTGTTTGCTTTCATGTCGAATTTTCATTACGACCGGATAGGTGATCTGGCCCTCCCCTCTGGCGATCTCGAACTTAATTTCTCTAGACATAAAGATACATTGTCTTAGCGGCCAATTCACGAACACGTCCAAAAGTTGAATTTGAGACATTCGTTGAGCTACAGTCTCTTGTCTTGTAGCTTCGAGAAGAGTTTCACCATCGTCGCGCGCCGTATAGTCGAGGTCGGGTTCAGGCGGTGTTATCACGGTAAGGTATTTGTCACTTCCTTGAAATGTCCCGGATTGACGATCGATGAATCTCCGGAACTTCGGGTGAGCGAACGTAAAAAGCCGATAGTGTTTATCAAGTGGAAGATCTTGTATATCGTTGAAGTTTAGATTTGACTGACCTAACGGTGCTCGGTTTTCTATGATGGCACTAACGGTTTGGTCCATATTCTTGATCACAACACGGTTGATTTCGCTGTGCGCGATTATGTATAGCTAACAAGGAAAACAGGTATGCATTAGGTCAATCGGCTGAATTATAACGACTTCATACTCTGCCTATGTATGCCAAAGTATGAAGAACGACAACATGCCTGGTATCACAACATAGTATAAAATGGGGCAAACGTTTCCTAACAGATATATATATATAATGCACGAGACGTTGAGATGAGACATGATTTAAATTTACGAGGGTTCACAAAGCGTGTTAACAGATGTGGTGTCGAGACCTAATGATCCAACAGCCCTATCGGTTCTTTCTGCTTAGGTAAACCAGGAATAAGCGGATGCTGCTAGAAATTAGTCAAAGGAAAAACATGGGGTAGAGCATCAACTCGTACGCATGGTGAAATTGTGTAATCGATAGTGGAAATTAGTGCCAGTAATCCAGAGTGTACTATATATTTTAATGTAGGATGTAATACAGTGTGAGCTATCACCTTTGTCCTCGCATCGCGCACTTCACCACTTTCCTTTATTGTCTGTACTCGACGAAGCATTGCGGCTGCTTTAGCCATTGCCTGGTGATCTTTAAGATCACTGTACATCTTTGTACCTAGACGATGTATAGGATTCTTTTTAAGAAGATCGTAGACAAACTCTTTGACCTCTGGCGTTGCCGAATGAGGATTTTCTTCTATTTTGGGCCACCGCAGTTCATCATTAATGATTCGTTCCTTCACTACTGATGCTTCGTCCCCGCGAAAAGGGACCTTGCCAGTGGTGAGTTTGTACATGGTAACCCCGAGTGCCCACCAGTCGGATGCTCTTCCGTAACTTTTCTTCAGAAGCACTTCTGGAGCCATGTATGCAGCTGTTCCGGCGGTCTCGTGATCCTTGAACTCCTGACCCGTTCGTCTGAAATAACTTGTAAGTATCTTCTTTGTGGGAAAATGGCCTCGGCATATTTTTGCATTGACGAAATCAGTCAAGCGAACCCGACCGTTCTTGTCAATGAGGAGATTCGATGGCTTAACGTCACGATGAATAAATCCCCGAATATGCATATGCTCAATGCCTAATAGTGTTTGGAAGGTGACGAGCATTGCATCCTCAGTTGCCATATAGCCCAAATAGTCGACCACTTGCATGACATCAACGTCGTCCTCGATATATTCGATTAAAGCAACATCGAGATTGGGCCGGGCGACCCATACGGCGTGTATCCGGCAAACCAAGAGGTCGTGGGTCATTGATCCGACGACACGATCGATAAATGCCATCGCAGGGGATTCGACGCCTCTTGCTTCCGTAATCAGGTTTGGTGCCACGGATACATCCTGAGGGGCTGTTGATTGTAATGCACCAGCTTTTTCAAACACTGGAAGCTTTGTTCGGGGAGTGACCTTCAAGGCAAACTGATGACCTGTCGGACGATGAATCACCGAATACACCTGGCTCATCGTACCCGTACCGACTAAATTGATCAGATCGAAATCTGCTATTGATGGAATATAGTTGCGAAAAGAATTATGCGACTGTAATGCGTTAGCTTCTTTCGCCTGTGTTATGAAGCTCTGCCCAATTTCGGCCCAATTGACAACCCTGGCCTTGGCATTTCGCTCGAGCAGATTACTGAGTTCGGCTATTGCCATCGTAATCTGATGGATAGACGCGCTGAATCTCACACACGCAGGACCATTATCAGGTAACAGCATAGTGAACAAATGGCAGATATTTTCGCAGTCGTCGAATATATCCTTGTGTGACATAAGCTAAATTAGAAGAAAAGAGACACGGTAAACGATGCATTACTAGAAATAGGAATATGAAATTTACACGATACAGGAGAGAATTCAGTATTTGTCGTAAACCTTGTGTCATTTAGCAGGCCCTCCCATTAGTTTGCCGAGAGAAGCTTTGAGATTCCCGGCCTTTTAAAAATTCAACGTGTTGCACACAAGTTCATTCAGGACAAGTTAGCAGAAACTAAATACCAGACACAAAGAACCTGATTCTCAAGCTTGTTCAGTAATTCCAATGTCGTTAAATAGACTTGCTCGTTGATAAAATGCGTCAACGGGTCATTATGTAAAGAGATGACTTTATTGCGCTTGCAAATAACTCGTAGCAATTGCTTGCAGGCCACGATTTTATCAGGTGCATCTGTAATGGACAATTACAATTGGATCAACCCTTACTATTATATATATTAAATGATTATAAATAAATAGTATATTATATTAAATATTTTTCCTTTCAAAATTTACTTAACCTAGAAAAGTTGTGCTTCTAGTTTCCAGTATGGCTTTTTACAGAAAGAGGTTCAGATACTAGAGACAAAACACCTTTGAAAGCATATGGTTTAAAAAATACATATTAAACGTAACGTAAACTAGTGATTCTCCTATTCATGTAAGACGCAGTCCTGTTTACAATACATAGTAAGTAATTCAGTGTCTTTTTCCTGTCACTGACTGGACAATCCAATGGAATTGGCAATCTTCTAATGGGATAAGTTTATACTGAAGCAGTAAACGTACACGTTACGTACTATAATGAGCGTCATCCACAAGACGAAGTGGAATAATACAGTTCTTAATCAAGACATTGGTCCGCTTATGTTAATTAGATGATCTTCAGGAACAGCCTGGGGCAAGGGACAGTCAGGCAGGTTGGCAATAGACGCTAGACGGAAAGTCACCGGAATTTTACCTCAATTATCAATATACCATGATATCTATATAACCAACGCTTCGTTTAGAAGCCTACTTTAGAATCACATTGTAAACTTTACACGCTTATTTATTATTGAAAGTATGAAGACCATCAGATATTAAAAGCACAGAACGGGCCTTTGCGTCGTAAGCGTTTTGGTGCACGAAGCCAAAAAGCGGACCCGTAGACCTAAAAAGAGCAACATCTATTCTTAGATATATATGGAACCGCTGACAGTTCTATGAGTTGTCATAATAAGTTCCTTAGAAGCATTGTGTTCTACTTCTTTATGACGTAGTTCTTCTTAAGGATGTCGCACAATACTATCGAATACCAAACACGAGGAGCCTAATCCGCATGATTTTTGAAAAAAAAATTTGTTCCGTATCTAACAACAGCTCAAAACAGAAAACAGAAGTTTTGTGCTTCGACAAACTTATATTCGCCAAATTAGTTACCCTACAGACGTGAAAGTTGTACTGCTTCGGGCCCTAAATAGTTTCTCGTTAAAGGTGAGATCGTGCGATTCCAGGATAAGTTGTTTTTTGTTTCATTTTTTTAATATATAAGGTCATTCTAAATAGGACGTAGCCAGGATGGATCTTTTCAGGATTCGCAAAACTTACGTAACTCCTTTTCATGGAATCAATATTGACAGATTAATTATTAACTAACTGCATATACGATAAAATAAATAATACTTCAAATGTATTCTGGATCGGCTAGCTTCACCGATACGGTTGCTTAGTTGTATAATTACAAAAATTTTTTTTCACAGTCAGAACTATATAGTTCGACGATACCGCAAAAACTACCTGGTAAAATATATCATTCGTTTAATTTCCCACTTCAATGTATACCTGAGAGAATTCGCTTAATTTATAAATTTAAAAATTAACTCCGCGTTCATTTTCTATCGCGGATAATTATTGCAGCCGCATCGTACTATTGAACCCAGATTTCTCGAGTAGTTGACACAACCACTCACAATGGTATATCAATGTCCAAACACTTGAGTCTTACCGAAACGAAATAACGCTAACCTTTTCTAAAAAACGATCTATATCGCTTTGTTTAGACCCGCCATGAACTCGTTGGTAGTACAGAGATCACGGCGATTGCCTCTAAGCCTAAAAGATCTCTAAAGCCACAGGATCCAATTTCGTGTCAAGCAAAAGACTTCAGCTTCTTTCTACGCATGCCCTTCTTCGATCGTCTGCAAGAGATTCTGGTGTCTCCCTAGCTTCTATCAGAAACATGCATACAAGATCAGTAAAGGCGGTAAAATTGCATCATTCATGTTGCTATAGACAAAAAAAAAGTCTCCTCAATGACAACATATCTGCCTATGAATCTTACGTAGGGCACGTGTGACGTGTAGACTCTTATGATCGTCTAATGGTGTCGGGTGAGTTTATTTAGGTCTGCAATTATACGTAGGCACACCTTGCTTCATGCTATGAAACTGGTTGTGTCAGCAACGCTTACCTAAGTATCAGTACCGGGTATTAAACTTCGGTCTCGTGGGTAAACGCAATACTTGTTAAAGAAAAATGTGAAAAGGAAAGGACGTCTTCGTGCTAAGCATAACGCACCGCGACAATTGCGAAAGTCTCTTTCACATGAACGCAAACTTCAGTAGACCGAAACGTGCAGATAGAACCCATTAACGTATTTTGCCTCTCTATACATAGTGATACGCACCGTTTGTAAGTAAGGCGAATGCTGCTTTAGTGAAGTTCCGTTCCTCGACCGCTGGCATTTTGGGGGCTGACAGCCTGGACGCGTCAGAAAGCGGACTTCTTGACTGTCCGGCGTTTAGCTGCACCGTATGGTACGCAGATGCAATGGAATATTCAGATGCGATTATGATTGCCTTTCGTATACAACCTCACCTACAGCAACGTTGTTTGTTTTCGCATAGCCAGTACCTACATGTGACTGATCGAATCACTGTATTTCTACGCGACCAATCGAAGAATTATGTTTGAATCGTGTTTCGAACTTAGGTCAACAATGAATCTACCCTTTTCTTCGCGCACTCAGACCGCGCTGACATCATACCGGCCTTTAATGCTAGATCGGACCCCTGCACTCGTAGCAAACCAGGCGATCTTTGTCGGTATCGAGAAAATGTCGAACTAAGCACAATAGCAATGAATTGAAAACTTCTGACATTTATTATAGGCAATGCTCGCTGATAGCCCAGCAAGGTCTAGATATATCTGTTCGAGGAATTGGAACATTCGACATAAACGAGTTGCCTTAATTGACTAGTGAAAAAAACTAGGACGATGACCGGATGACCGAAGACAATACGACCGTGATTATTAGGTCCGTTCAGATTATCCTTGCATTACTAATTAAAATCCGTGCACTTACTCGAAGTTTAACTGTTCAAGCATCGGTAATCTATAGGTGTCACTTCAACATCTTAATTGTTTCCGACGTACGTTAATGGTGGGCTGGCTAGTATCACGAACCTAACGTCAACGTTTTTCTTTAACCAGTTCAGCATGGGCCTTTCCGTGGAGCAAGCGAATAATGTAGCTACGTTGTGTTTAAGTTCAATTCTGAGGGGTAATAATTGCAATTTCTGATAGTGATGCTTTCGTTTGGCTCTTTCGTATAGAGAGCTTTATGAAAACAACTATTCTTGTTTACTGGTCACGATGTCCATCATTTCTTCAGCGTTCCGTAACGCAAAAACTGTGTCTGTCGATTTTAATATATATATGTTTACAGTGTATCATACCCATTTTTAGTTGGGCCAGTTGTCGTTACGGTCGTGGCGATTGTACAGAATCTAGTGGACCTGATCCTCGAGTGCTACACATTGATTTCTGTGAATTAGTCAAGAGGAATCTAATTGCCCGAAATAGAAAATGCTTCTTCCACCATTTTTTCATGACTGCCTACAAGCAGACGAAAGTGAGCAATCGAGTTCGACGCAGTTAGAGCCAACATATACACTGCCACGTGTGATTAGATATAAAACGAGCGTCTTTATAAATATGAATAGAACGTATCTTCGTTACGTCGTACCGGTATAGCCTAAACGTGGGATATATCTAGCGAAAGTAAAATTCGATTTTTATCCATAAAATGACATTTTTACATAGTTATTTTCAAAACTTCAGTGTGGAATTTACGCTATGCCAAATCGATGCTAGTTTCGTGTAAATTTTCGTACCGTAAAACAAGGCTAAACAACAGAGACATGTCTACTTACACGCGTACCTTACCGTGTCCTTACCTAAACATATCCTAGTAGAATATCGAATCTCCGGCTGTCAGACCATTCTGTGAAGGGACACTATTTATGAGATGATCTAGCGTAAATTTTTTCGTGTCAAAGTTCCAAAATTTCAGTATCTGAAGCCCTTGTTCGTTCCGACATCGTAACAGTCGACTCAACGGTTTAAGTTTACCATCGGCAGCGTTGCGTCGAGGTCAAAAAATACGAAACAAAATGTCCTGCTCGTCGTTTCTTCAGATTTTCGATTATTGCTGTTCTGTTTGCATAGACCACATCTGTTTATTTTGTAATATTTTTTCGTTTTTTTTTTTAAACCTTATTACTTTCAAAATTATTCCTAGCGACCCTTTTTACGCTTTGCTATATTTTTCCATGAATTCAGCCTGCGCGAATTTCTCTGAGCAATTTCTGTAAGTGAGTGGTAGCTGCATGATAAAAGCATTAGTCATTTTCTGAGAGTCAGTGGAAAATAGGAATTTTGTGAAAACTCCTAGTTTCAGTGATGCGATGATAACTAAATAAATGATTGAAAATAAATTACTGTTCTTTCTATCTATTTTTGTAAAATTTTTCTCTGTGTGGTAGCAAACAGTGAAGGAGCATGGTATCAACGTACTATTCGGAAGAAGGTATAGTCTTGATTATCTAATCAGGGATTTTGTACAGGGACCTTTGTATATACGTGCTTGTACATATAACACATTACCTTTACATTTACATACTTGTAGTATTATATATATATATATATATATATATATATATATATATATATATATATACACATACAGTGGGCTTTTTACAGTATTCGAGCTGCCACATGGGTATTTTGACTTACAGTTTCACAATAGTTACGTATTATTTATCACAGTAGCTCGTATGTAACTGCCGTCGTCCGAAGGGTGAGATAAAGACGTTCACAGGGTTCTTTTATGGTCTATTGAACAGTTGTGAAATGGTCATCCTTTGTTATTATTTCTAATATTTTTCATTAATTAATATAGAATATAACAGAAAACAGCTTGACATGGAAGAAAATATTCAACCGGTAGTTGCGGTACTGCCCGCCTTTTCCTGCCTCCGGTAATAAATGCACGTGTAGCTAGGTATAGGTAAAATTAATGATATCCATAAATATCTATGCTTGTAAAAATATCCAAGTATCTAAAGGTTCATAGCTTCAAGTGACAACTTCAAACGTATTTGAAGATGTTACGTTATGATATGAATGTTAATTTGTTGGCAAGCAACATTGCCATCTGTCCACCGATAAAGGCTAGCTGAAATGGTTTGTTGTACAATCGAAAAATAAAATACTAAAAAATTAGAGAGGCACGAGCACGCACTGACAACATAGTACGCTAGCTTCAGAAAGTACAATAGCGAAAACTGTCGTACTTTCGAAACTAGCACAGGAAACTCACTTACCTCAAATCCTATATATCTACATATATATATAGTATTTGAAGGAAGGGTTTGAGATAGGCAAACTGCCCATACAGATATACCGTTCATCAATTTTGCACAAACAGAGCAAGCAAACTTCGATACTATAGAAGTAAGTATTCATCTTGAACTTATACTAGTACATTTTAGAACCGGTTCCTTTCTTGCAGTCACTAACGGAGTGGCAGAAAATTCTGCTCATACCTACCTAGACATAATCATTGAAAACATTAAACTTTACCACAGCGATCAGCACTAATCGAGCACACATACATACACGTTATTAAAAAAAAAAAAAAAAAAAAAAAAACAAGACATTGCATCTCTCTCTCACGACAATAACAAGGGGCAATTTGTTGGGTTATGTCCCTTCTGATACGCTGTTTGTTTGCTGTTTTTAGCACCATCTGTAGACATCTGGCCACTGCAGCGTTCCGAATCGCACCGTTCTTCTATACCATATCCGCTTCTCTTTCGCGGAGTTATCAGAGTGGCGAATTCGGTGATAATTTTATTGTGCCGACTACTCCTATAGATTCGCGACATATTTGCTCCGGCATTAAGAGCTCACCGTTGCCCCTTAGCAACTCACGCCTATAGCGATAACTACAGCGGACTGTTTGCCCTCCCAATTCATGCTTACATCACGTGCGGCTGCATCGTTTAAGAGGGATGGAAATTATCTCATGGTGTTTGATGCCCATCCTTTCTAGATTGTTCCGACGGCTATGGCAGTACCGACCACGTCAACGACGGATTCGCAGTAAACACGTTTTTGTCGCTTTTACGTTTCGCTTCGTCGGTTCTTTGTTCACCTTTTTCAGTTTCTGTTGAAAAAGTATCCTTTTACTTTCACCGTCATCGGACAACGCGAGTGGCAGAAGAAGCAACCGGTGGAGCTACCAGTGCCATAGCCAGCTCGCCATTCAGACGCTGAGCTGCGATATATATATATATATATATGTACATGTTTGTGATCTACGATATTCGTACGCTATAGATCTTTCGTTTCTGTTGATCTTTTGGTACAGCGTGGCCCACCGTGACGCATTACATTCGTTGTGACGATCTAAGTTGAACGTGTTCAACTCAAAAGTAGAAAGTTTTCGCTGGCTCGCACTCACATTAAAACATAGACCTATTAATGCATAAATAATAGACAAAAAAAAGTACACGTATTTTGAATGTAAACTTAACTATCTGTGGAATATGCGAAAAATCAATGTCTCGTTGATAACTATAATGCAAGTATAAAAGTCGTTGGGACGAATTTTTGTGGGTTTTACTAAACGTAATAAGAGGAATTTTATTTCAATGGGCATAAATGCTCGTTGCGGTATTATGCTTAATACAAGTGTGATTAACTTTTTTTTTTTTTTTTTTTTTTTATTTACAAAAGTCTATAACTTTAGAAAAAATAATTTCGCCTACATTTAAATTTTTCTACTCTATATAAATATACTTTAGTTTAAATGTGAGTTTAGATGACTAGCAAAGTTTATAGGACGTGAAGCGTTGTCCTTATTGTAATAACATAACATTTTCTGTTATTTCAAAATTGGTGAATAACTATATTTATAACAAGGACAGCGATAGATATAATAAATCAACTTTATACGAATCTTGAATGGAACGAAATTGGCCCGACACCCATCTCACCAGCGTCACAAGCTTATTAAAACATATGTGTAGCACCTGAACGATGGATTCCTCACACACACAAAACCACCGTCGATCTGAAAAACCGACAAAATCTATCTAGACCCCCTTGCTCACACCTCTGTCAATTATTGCCACCGTGCACCCACATACAGCAGCTGATTTATAAGCATTACCAACAATCGTACATGCCAAGTGAATGTCCACCTCGAACGGCAGTATCATCGCGACTCGGTTCACGTTTACATGCCCACCACCTCTCTGCGTCCAGCTGTCCCGACAATCATTAGGCGAGCGTCAAGCGACCGCATTAGGGCGGAGCGCTCGACGCACGTCGAAAAGAGCGTTCGTGTATTATCCGACATAACATTGGTGGTCTTGTACGCGACGCTTGTATTTCTGCCACCTGTGCAGCATTGGCGCAGCAGCAAGGCCGCGAGACGTCGCTTCGGACGTGCCCTTTGCGGCGTGTCGGACCAGCCGCGAGCCGGCGGACGACTAAAGCAGTGACAACTAAATTTTAACAGTTCTGATGCTTGTTCGAATCTGTGTTACAGCGCTACGGAGGTGGGTTTGGGCCTAGTTTTAAGGCAAGGAAAAATGTTTGACCCCCAAAACGTCCAGGGGTGTGCAGGGTTTTGATCGTAACAAATAATTTCTATGTCTTTTCTTCCCAGCTGTGCGGCCCAAGCCATATTGGGGTGTTGCGGTTACACGCTGACGAACGTCGTTGATGATTGTAAAATGTTTTCTGGTGAGTGAATAGTTTTGTGGCCCATCACGGTTTACCGTTGTCGGTATAGAAGAGAAAAGGCTATCATCATTCGAATAACCAAAGTAAAAGTAGTAACGTTAGAGGATTAAAACAGATTTGCAACAGACACAACGCGAGATGTGAAGCTCAATGTCGTTAAAGTCGAGTAGCGTGGAGCGTCGATCGCCAAGTTCTTCCAGGCTACGTACGGATATATTTGTTTAAGTAAAACGTAAAACAAACAAGCAATTGCAACGCAAGCGACCGTACTCAGCTGCTGTAAAGACCGAATGAAGAACATGAACGATTTGTTCCTGAACCACCTGGTGTTGATTACTTGAAATGAAGATGATTAGAAGATCTATGTCCAATAGGCGGTGCCGCATCCCTTCAGCTCGTTGATTGTTCCGTTTCTGCCAATATAAGTTATTACATAAATCTGTGAAGTTTTGTGACTCGATCCGATTTCGCGAATCTCAGAACAAGCCCATACCGAGAAGTTGGCTGCTTAATCGGTAACCTCGCAGATAACTAGTGGGCTGAGAAAAGCTAAAACTACCTTGGAACCGTTTCTTCGATGCGCACATCAGACGAAAAGTAAGGAGATTTCAAATATTCGAAAATAATCAGATAAATGCTAACCTTTTATCTATCACAAGGCCTATAGGGCAACTATTAAATGTAACAGCACTAAATCAAGATAGAGACATATAGCTCGATAATCAGGCCATTAATAGGGGACATGCGCGTACACCGTCCACTGTGAAAAAACTAAGGATTTTTAAGGGTAGAGTCTACCCATATGCAGAAAACTCTTCTAAATGAGTACCTGGTCGGAATTTGATAGTTGCAATAAAATCTCTGAACTTTATAATAAACTACTAATCACAACTGAGGCATACTTTACATTCTGCCGAGAGATAAACGTCTCGGTTTAGATTTTGTGCAGTCTCTCGCGTGCAACGCATGTAAATGCTTCTTTAGAGAGGCGTCTCTGAAAAGTGCGCGCGTTTCTGCGTTGATGAGATTGGCGTCGATGCCACAATCATGGCTGACTATACCCCGGATCAGAGAACATCGCCTGCACTGACGCATAGGTAAACGCATTCGTAATTCAGTTAACTTCACAGTTTGAGAACGATAATGTCACCGTTTTAACTGATAGGCAGTCTCTCAAAGCAACGAGGCCCATCCTATTCTCTCCTAGGAAAAAAAGGCCGGCTGATGCTTCAGAATGGAGAGTCTCACGGACTACGCGGACCGCAGCGATGCCCGGATCAATAACCTGTTTGCGTCTAAAATGCTCATAATCCATCGTATAGGAAATGCGTGACTATGTCGTGGAGATTTAGACAAACTGAACGCGATCATAACTAAACATGAAAAACTTCAGTATAAAATGTGTTCATAATGACATATATGAGGTTGCGTTCAGAAGTTCAAATAGTGGTTGCGAAGTTAAGCGCGCCCACTTTAAAGTTTCAGTAAATAGTAGCAGAAACTTGGGTGTTAAGTTGTGAGGTATTCCAAACAACCCAGGATCAGCTAAAAAAATATATCTGATACCCTGTGGTGACAAACAGCGAACATTTTTACCCAAGTGGAAAATTGAATTTCCTAGGGTAAATATAGTAGAAGAAATTGGAAGGAAGCAATCACAGAATCGATTTGGTCAAGCGAAGACCAGTAATTCTGCCGTACACCTTGTTTGCGAAAAGTGGCTTTCGATTCACAAATGATATCGAAGCTATCCTAAAGAAGACTGCCTTAAATTACTTTTTTTACATGGTTAATGCAGATTTTTCGTGGCGCTGTCTTAAGGAAAATGTCGCCATTTACGGACTCGCTACTACGTTGAACTGAAATAACGCTGCCATACTAAGGCACTTCAACGGGACTTTTTTCCTAGACAAAACTTGTGTCGATGAACATTTTTTTAACGCTAAGCGTCTATTACTCGGATATGAATTCTTGAAGCTAATGCGGAGTAATAGTCAGTTTTAAAGCTTCAATGAAGCTGCATCCGTTCCGCAGGTGTAAAAAGGATTTCAACGGATAATTATCGAATTTCCGAATCTCATCCGGAATCATCCGAATAGGATGAATCGTTTTGTAACGTGTAGTTTGAACTCCCTATAAGTTAGCCAAATCCCTTGAAAATGCTTTGTATATTTGTTCACTTACTTTTATTGGCGATTCAGTCACCGTAGATTTGATCGATAATTCGCTATTTCGAAAAGTGTTACAAAGTTAGTCGGCTAGACATCTTGTTGCTGATCTACGTACCATGAAACGGTCATGTATATATCTAACATGAACCTCTACGTCATGGCCGACGAGCATTTCATGTTACAGCGATCGCTAAAGGCGTTAGTTTTCTAAAGCTAAAGATGTACAATAGATACAATATTCCAGTAGAGTAAATTCATAAAAAATCGCAATTTTTACCTGAACAGATATAGATAAATCGTTAAGAATTAGATAACGTTAGATAATTAGAAGACAGATTATAATAAATCTATTGAATATAAACTAACTGAAAAAAGTCAAAACAAATGTATCCATAGGAAAAGAATCGGTAAGTAAATTATTTACAAATTATACGGTAGTCTAGAGTCATTTGTTATCTCGAGAATAAATTAAACATCTCTTGAACAATACATTACATATAAAAGGGGTCGTAATGAACAGAAAAAATAAACCGAGGACAAAGCAGTGATTTCTCTTAGGCTATCATTATATCTGTACGTAATTGGATTTTACTAGGAATTATGTTGGCACAGCCTGCTAGTATAGTAAGTAGAATAAATTTCGATCTAATTCTATAAGCCGCCTGATTCAGTCGTCTCTTCTGGTACCTGTCTCCTTGTTACTACAGTCTAAAGACGTAAAAACGTTGTCCAACAACAGATAAACATCAACGGCATTTAATATACCTGGCAGCCGTGCGTCTTTCTCTAATGCAATGAAGTGTCTAACAGTGTAATATTTTTTCAAAAAATCACGCAATTTTCATCAATAGGTAGATTTTCTATTTTTTCTGCAGACTCGATTGGTGGTAAACGGAAGCCACAAAATATACAATCTTCATATTATCACAAGCGATCCGTGTGAACGATGCTGAAACTTATTCCTCATTGTGAGGATAAGTGCCGGCTTGCGTCCATTACTACCACCGTTCCCTGCTAACAGAGCACTATCATTTATCAATGAGCTGTCTCCGCTACGAAGAGCGTGCAAATGAATACGCATATAAATCTAATAATCACAGTAGGACACAAAAACGAAGGTGTGAGCATTTGCGGGTATGAACAGTGAGTAGTTCTATCCCAGTTGATTAATAATCGTCAAGGTGCCCGGAAGACGACTAACGTCAGCCGACCACCATATCTGTACACGTCAGCTGTAGCTAGTGAAGATAATGTTGACGGTCGCAAAACGCTTACCTGTGTTCTTCAACGATGAACAGCCAAAGAGGAGAATGGGGGCTATCGGCTAACCGTATCTGGAACGTTGCGAGAGTAGCTGTGCGTTTACCTATCGATATAACGGTACAGTATTTACTTGCATCTGCATAAATTCTCTTTTAACTGAGGTTGCGGATAGCGATAGATAACGGGAAGCGTTTGCCGCCAAGGGTGCTATATGTTCGGATCACTTTTGTTAAACGATGACTAACCGAAGTGGATGAAGCGGAAGTTCACTGTGTTCTTTAAAAGAGAGACAGAACCCAGCACTTCATTGTCGTGTAAACGCCTACGTCTAGACGTATATATACGTGCAATATGGGCACTGATTGCAAAAATAAAGGACAATAACAAGAAATCAAGGAAAGCGCTCTCGTCCTATCGGAAACTGAAGTGCTGACTGCCGTGAGATACGCATGTGCACACGTGATAGGCTGAGGTTCAGTGAAGGCGTTGCTATTCGTTAATGTGGCCAGAACGGGTATTGCATGATGGTTCAGTGGTGACGTGTTCGCCTACAGCACTCAGGGACACACGTTGAGGTGACTTAGGCCCAAGCCTGGCATGGACATACGGTTCGTCTCCTCTGAAATGAACCCTCAGCCGTTTGGAGCAATGCTCATTTATAGCAATAGCATTATACCTTCAGTGCAAGTTTTCGGAAGAAGCTATTGCGATTAGCTATATATTGAATATCGATATTGTCATACAAGTTAGCTTCTACCTTGCAAAGAACTTCAGTTGTAGGAGTTATTAGGCAACTGAGAAATATAAGAGGTATGAATAACCTAATAAACATAAATCTACTCACATTATTATTTCTAATCCGTGCATCGACTTCAATGTCTGAACGTAATATACGTTGTATAATTTACAAAAATAGTACGACCGGAAAGTTACCGAAAATTAATAGCAGCCATTATTTTGCATTGAACGAAAGAAACTAGTGAATGAGAACTTATGCATTTAGGTCGCCTATTTCATTCAGCTCGTTCTTCAAAGGTACATCAATTGTTTACATTTGATCATTTTCTGGAAATCCTGAATTTATAAGCTCGCATGTATCTATTTACATGCTAGCTCTACACAACTGAACCAAACTCTAGTCCATTTGCTCGTTTCCCTAAGGAAAGATCTTTTGTTTTCAGCATCGTCACAGTCTTCTCCATTGCAGCCTTTGACGTCGCATGATCACTGTCCACCTGCTTCGTCGATCAAGTCTATCGAGGGAAAATGACGAACTTTCTTCTGCTGACTAGACGTCAGGGAGAGAGAGCCATTAAGTACTTCCAGACCATGCACCTTCTCATGGCAGGAATGACGCTCGTACGTAACATATTACGCCTTATACAGTCGATATATACCAATCGATATAGTTATTGTCGATGCTGTGAGCCTTTGCAACTTCCCTAGTTATCGAGAATTATTTAATAGTAGCTACTTTTAGGTAGGAATAGGGAAGCTTGACCTGAAAGTTTAACATTAACGGCGAAAATATAAACTCACCCACGACATTTTTAAATTACTAAATTATGTTATTATAAATAAATTATAAAAATTAAATTATGGAAGAATTACTTCACTAGTGTGCACCGCACTAGCTTTCGGTAATTTACTATGCAGTAGATTTATGGTTTCCCAGTAGGTGCAGTTATGTCGATCAATTTAACCCTAATATAGTTTTATATTTGCAAATTGTACTTTTAAAAAATTATACTTCCAACGACCATTTGCGGAACTATACTTTTCGATCTGGATCATCCTCACTTACACGTACTTCACATACATCATTGTTAAAATATATTTTTTTTTTACATTTTCAACGTCCTTTTTTCTGCTTACGCCTTGATTGATTTTTGGGGTTTCTTGCTGTAATTCCCTGACTAGTGGGTTTTTCTTGGCTGGTGAAGGTCCTTTGCGTTGTCAATTTTCCGTTCTATTCGTTTCAAACTTTTCTTTCGTCCAATCTATTATGAATCGATTTGGTGGGTCTGCCAGAAACTTCCCGCAATATTGTCTTTGTGCTTCAGCTACACTTTTGTACTTCCAATAGGGTTTTTTCAAGAGTTCTTAATTTCTAATTAATTTCATCCTAAGAAAAAAGATTAACCAGAAAGTTCTGACCCGTCAAATAACGTATACATTTTATATATGTGACCTACATAAACTATAGTGGTCAAAACGAATTGCTTAGAGGGCTAACTACATAGTGCAAGTGCCTAACTATTAATCGACTGAGTATAGGACACTGCGTCTATACGGGAATGGACCACAAACACCGACCTTTGTCTATAGCCATGATAAGACCAGTGCAAACATACGATCTATCCTTTCATCTGGTCGCCAGCGTAAGATGGCGACAAGTCGGCCCATAATCCAAGATGAGTTCGGTAATGAGGATAGGGCCAAAATCAAAATCTAATATGCACACTGACCTAGTGTCCTAGCGCCTACCAAGGATAGGAGCAATTAGATAAATTAGGTTGTCCCTGTAGAGGCACTTAACACAAAGCCGTGCATTTCAGACCCAATCTTGTAGGTTTTCTCGAACAGGATCTTCTTCGAAATTGGCGTCATTGAACATTGATGCAACTATTCATATCGTCCCATTTTATATGTAGTTGCATATCGTATAGTGCTTTCACGATATTCGAACCACTGCTGTGATAATAAAGGTCTCGGCGTTCTTCACCTTCGGCAGTGGGCGCTCTACAAATCGTCGAATAAATTTCTATTCATCGGAGCTCAAGTGCTTGCGGAAAATACTACAGCAGACCGAAATGATTCGCTGGATGGCGAGAACTGGGCGAAACCCGAAATACCATAAAATCCTGATAATCCTTCATGTTCCAATGGCCTGTCTTGACAGATGTTGGGACACGCGTCACTGTTTGTGGATCTATACCCGACCGGATGGTCGAGACGAGTTATATTGTACCAGATAGATAAATGCTTGACGCTTCTATAATCGTGCGACTTAAGTTAAACGTAAAAATGGGTGGCATTTAATTATGTTGGGGCATTAACTGATGGTGGAGTTAAACCATTACCCCAGAAAAAATCTTCAATACACCAGGAGATGTGCTCACTTTTTCGTTAGCAACTCGTTAGCGAATAGAAACAGTAACCATAAGTAAAGAGCTGTATTTTGCGGTACTTCCAACATCTCGCCGTGACTGATTATCCTTCCAGGGTATACCAGTTATCAAATGTTTACCTGTTACGTTATTACTACTACGACGAGTCCTTGAGGAAGTAACAACCACTTTATTATCTCACAATGTATTTGTCTGTATAATGTTTCCTTTTTTCTAAAAGTTTCCCATAGGAATACTAACCTACATAAACAAACAGATTCAGCATAAAAGATGTCTATCCTATATATCATGTGTGACCATCTATTGGTGCTATGAATGTTTCTTGAAACGTTTTCTCATGTCCACTTTACCGCCTTCAAATGTGAACGACTCAACGAAGTACTACGAAATGATCAAAAATTATATTTTTAAAAAATTAACGACGCATCTTGCTTCACATATGCCAAAAAATTGAGTGAAATCTCAATCTTATTTTTGGCCATTCATCTGCTTTCTGATGAACTCTATCAGGTTTTTTTTAATTCGCGTCTATCCCGAGCAATACACCTTACGAGGCGGTTCGTGGTCGATGATTACTGCTGAATAAATTGTTCAAGTAATTTTAAAAACACACAGGGACTCCATTTTAGGTAGAGTAATATCGCTTGCGAAACTACAGTTTAGTTAAAGGGATCCGAATTTTATTATAGGGGATGCACCCGCATGGCATGTCTGGCCTAGCCAAGATCTTCGCCCCCCAGTCATATAGATTTGAGCTTTCCTGATTATAGAAACCGTGGTTACTGGGGTAAAGGCTTTTTAAACTAATGCAAACACGAATAAACATGTACTCATAGATGTTATACTATTATCTTTCGCGTTCGTCTAGGGTCTGGTGCTAGTTATTGTGGGCCCGAGTCTTCTGGATCTCGCCGACTTACTTCAGGTATCTGTTCGTGAGATGACCTTAATTTCTTTTGGGGGCGACTTCGGCGCTTTTTTCGGATCTGTGCTTGGTGAGTATTTATTTAGACAATGCACAGACGCTTACCCATCGTTGTTGGTCGTCGCTAAATACGCACGACATGTTTGCCTGTTTGTATCTTTTTGAGAATAGCGTTGATGATGTTCAGATACTTCAGTGCGCAAAAGGTGATCATCTCGTTTATGCTGCTCATCGGAGTGTCGAACATTCTCATTCCGTTGGGTGGCACCCCCGTTGCCACGGCAATCCTCACCTTCTGCTCGGGGTGCGGGGTCGGAATCGTCGAAATTGGTACGTTGACACTTTTATACTTAGTTTTTCTTTTGGTCCTGCCATAGCTATTCTGTTCTAATGAAAATTGTGGTGGAATCAAAGGTTATGTGAAATGTGCCAGCCGAGACTGTTACTGATATTTTGCTGGTGGTAAAAAGCCACACCACACATTTCCAGTATAGTTAGATAAAAGCTGTAATCGTTCATGCTAGTGATAGATTTTTCGCACCGACCCAGCTATGACTTCTTTTCATAGGACTGAACATACAATTATCTGGACTCGGTATGTATATGATTTACTTTTTTTGAATGATGAGATTTGTTTAGCTCGGCTGCTCTATGAAAATATGAGATTTCGACCGAATTTGTCAAAAAAACAAGACGAAAGTAGTCAACGTATCGATATCGTTTATGCACGATCGTGTACCGAAGTGCGTAAGGTGAATACTTTCCACTTCAAGCAATCGGGCTCTAATTTACCTATTTAAGTTAAAAAAATTCGCGGACCCGATTTTACGTCTCGTTCAGCTCCTTCACCGACTAGACCAGCTTGAAGTAACCAATTTGGTTTCTTCTGGGTAGCCATCGTTTGGACGTATAGACAATGGATGTATGTAAACGTAGCATATTAGAAAAAGTGCTACTCGGTCGAAAGTTAACGTAAGTTATAGTAACGAGCAGAATATTGCTCTAATCGAACTTTGGATCCGTGGTCTCTATTAGGATTTGTTGATTTTCAATGGCGTTGGTATCCGTTGCGGAGCTAGTCCGACGTTCATTTGTCACTGTTGATAAATGGCATTTTCCTGATATATGGCTATGTACAAGCGTTAGAAAAGCTAGTTTGATGTTAGTTGTACGTGTATTATACATACTAAAGATTGTAGTGAACAAAATAGGCATTTCTTTCTATTAAGAAACGACCAATGCCATGATAGGTATCTAAAGGTGTATCATGCGAGCTTTGTTATGTAAAATTTTTAAATCTAGCTTACAGTTACTTTGCACGTTATATAAGACCGGGGCAAATTCATTTATATGCCGTTGGTCGGTTTTATTTTATGAACTGCTCATTCGGTCTACTCAAACGTAAACGTTCTAAACGAACCAAATAAATTGCCCTCAAGTCTGGGTCGGGTGATGAAATGCCCATACGTAAACATTACTATTGTTTTTTTAACTGTTAGCTACTGAGAGTACTGCTTTTTGTCTTCGTATCAAGGAGAGGTCAAGAAGTTGGCTAGCGTATAGTTCCGGATATTACCAAACGCGCAACCCGAAGGCTAGAACAACTACGGTGTCTTGAAATCGCTCGTCGTCCTATACATCGTCCAGTTCTGACGTGAAAATCGCGACGTCAAAATTCACAATTCGGACTCAAGCGAGACAAGTATATCGCTGCAACTTAGGCCAAAAAGAGTAACAGGATAGGTCTAGCTAGCATAAATAAGTATACTCAGTCACAATTTCCTCATGTTACTGAGATACTGTCTGTTAATAGATAGACACAGAAAGGCGATGGAACTAAAAACAACTTAAAAATCTACCATTCTAACTACTGAGATCGAATATATGTGATAAAGGAAAAAGACGTTACCAATTAAATTTGATCAAAAAGGAAAAAGTTCGCCGGTAAAAATCGTTCAGCTTTAAGTTTCTCTCAATACCTTAAAATACATTTAAATCAGCAGGCCTGTTTAGATGTGAAGATCGTCCTATGTTTATCAATATCCAGCACGATGCATGTCGCAGCGTTTTATCCGAGTAGCTGGACATCCGTAAGCCAAGACGAGATACAGATCCGACGAAATAACATAGAACAACGGATAGCTCGTTAATCTATAAGCAGTTTAAGGGAGCTGCCTAAAATAAAAAGACTAACTTGGCAAAACTTTATTACTCTAGTAATATAGTTTAGATGATTTTTTTTTTGTCTTTTGCTTACCATGAGCAGCTACCACTTCGTGCTCAGGGAGTGCGCGTACTTTGTTGTACAGCTGTACAAAGTTATATATAGCAGACGAAACGAAACAGTGTTTACGGAAGTAACGTGTAGTTATTATTATACTATCATTGGCTCCATATGATTATTAGCCAATCAATAAATAGGAGAGTCTGCATTGTATCGACGGTAGAAATTTGGTAAGTTCCAGATGTTTGTTGTCATAACAACAAAACGAAAAATGTTAAAAAAAAAAAAGTAAAATAACTGAAGAGGTTTTACATCAACAAGAATAAGCACGAACGTGAACGAAGGAACTATGAAGAATGCGGCTCTTCTATCAGGTGCTGACGTTAAATGCTTAATTGATCCTTGGAAGGATGCTACCATTTTTTGAAGGAGACGTAATCTAGTATAAAATACATAGAGTTTTGTATATTCGGTTATTTTTTAGAGGAAATAATGTATAGGCTGGTAGTCTCATAGAGCTGCGACTATGAGCATGACCATCCAACAATAGAAAATCTCATACACAAATATTTACCACGAATATATGTTGACATCAATATAGGCGGATTCAGATGTTAAATCTACAGCAATTGTTCCAATTAGCCACCATTTCTGATCAATGGCACATAGTTTAATATATACTCTATGAACCCTAGTTATAAAAAAAAGATGACATTCCCTTCAGCACCCACTGATCTCACCCTATTTATGGCCGCCGCGCGTAACGACTCGAATACTAGCTGAAAAAAGACCCTGGGGGATAGATTTTCGGGCGCAGAAAATTTCGCGCAACTCACAGATATACGTCGACAATTTTTCCAGGAGCATATGTATGGCTAGTGGGCCTGTGGTCTTCGAACGTTGCCCCGATTGTTCAGCTTCTCCAACTGAGCTATGGTATCGGAGCGTTTATGTCACCGCTCATCGCTGAGCCCTACCTCACTCACCATCCTAAGTAAGCACTACATTATTTCTATTTACATGTAAACTCTGATGCGTTTACATTTTTTGCCGCTGTTTTTCATTGATAAACTACAAAGGAATACAGGAAATAGATACTTTTCCATAACTAAAGCCTTCAAAGAGATAGATCCACCGTTAACCGCCGCGGGCGGGTAACAGTACATGTATATACATGGATTTGGAGTGATACCATCTTCATTCTTCTAGTGAGCGCTGTGCCAATTTGGTGTACTTTTTCGAAATAAATAGAAATACATTTCCAGTGCACATGTTTAGCAAAAACTTATCAGGTAAATACAAAAACAAAGTTTAATTTTGTTGCCTCATCATATTTAACTGAACCAGCCATCCATTTAGTTTATCCAGCCAGAAGTGTTAAGCATTTACCGGCTATATACCGTAACCAGTATACGGGTTGTTTGATGTTTGACGTAACGCGACTGATGTTGAACGTGTATTGTGGTTCAAACGCTCTATAGATTTCTGCCAGGTCTGTCGGCTTGCCCAAGCACAAAAACATTTTGTGAATAGTCTTTCTGTTGCACTACGACAGCTGAGTCAGCCGGTCAAGCCGATTTTGCCTGTATATTTTTACTTAGGTTATGACCTTACTGCAACGACTTACGAGATTTGTTGGGCACACATCGTATCTAACGAAAACAGAGCCTTACTATTAAAACTACTATTGCATCGGCAGTTTTCTCTCACGACATTGCACTATTTGCAAGCAAAAAGATATCGGCATGCTCCTGTAGTTGTGCTAATTTAAGAGTAAACAGAGAAGTACATGCTCGAACAGCAAACGTGGTCCTATCCTCGGTAGGCGTACAAGCGATACATCGATACCGTGAGCAAATCATTACCCCATTTTAACGACAATTATTCATCGTTCAGCGTATCTCATAACACTATCTATAATTCTGCTATAAAATCTATTTCTAATATCTAATGCATCTTTTATTATTTGACTGGTCTTGGCTAACTTGCTAAAGTTTATATGCCACAATACGCTGTCTGCGATATCCGTCCGTTTGCGGAATTACTCAACTTACTCGCTGTATGCACAATATTTCAAGTGTCAAAGACTATCCATACCGCCTCCATCATCGTTGTCATTGCAAGTCACGGCACAGCTTTAGTCGGAATAGTCGGCCGTCCTCCTTAAGTTCCTCGGTGGGCGCGAGCAGTCTAAACGGGTAGGCTGTTAATAGTCACAGATTCACCAGACACCCTGTTGGCAAAGCCCGTCAAGCCGCAGCGTCGAAACAGGTGGCTTTTTCGGTACCACATCGTTACGGCTTGTGCCAACTCTTCATTGTTTTCTGCCTATCTTCAGCTTCCACCCAAACGTTGAGTGCGTCAGTGGCGCTTACGCAGTGAAAGGTCGCCTTGATCGAAGAAAAATTATTTGCTGTGTGGATCTTCGCTTGTGGCCGATGTCTGAAGCTATTTGCTGCGCTTATAATGAAACGGGAGCGGACTAAGAGTGTCCAGTCAGAAATGAAGCAGACTATCGACCATATAGACCAAGGCGTGTGTTTTCTGATGTGGGTGTGAATGTATTTGATGAATGATTCAACAGAAGCGCTAAGAGGCTCGGAAGACTGATTCACGATTGGACGATTGTCAAATTGTGCTTGGCATAGAGAACACAGATCGTATCGCTTCGTATGTGAGGGTCTTATACGGTCAGTACTAGATCATCTGAAGACAATACGCTTGTCTGAATTGATTTCGGCGTCCATATAATGTCATAGGAAACACGTGCGCATTTCGCCTATTTCGTGTACGTGCTCTTGACATTATACGGATGACACAAATTCAATGACAACTTTTACAGTTGAAGTGACATTGCGCCCTCTGTTGTTTTTTTTTTTAGCTATCATGCGCGCACTCCCTATGATCAGTTACCGTTTCAAACTAGTAATAAGCGGATGTAAGGAGAGATTGTGGTGGGCAGCGTGTAGGACCTTTGAGCGCAATTAGAGGAAAGTAAGGGAAAGTTGATTTCTTTTTAAGATATGTCCTAGTCGAAGATACCAGTTTAGCTTGCGTCAGCCATACAAGTCTAAATTAGTCAATGAAAATTGCTATGTTTTTTTGAAAAAAATAATTACCGGACCGATAACATAATCCTGAACGGAGCCATGGGTCACAGCATCCATAAGGAAGAAACGTTCGTTCGTCCAGCAAACGATGTAAATTTCAATTCGCCGAGATAGATTTTCCTTTTCTATCTATTGGCATAATAATATAACGTTCATGAATTCATCATCTCTGAGAAATATCATTTTAATCTATTTCCTACCCGTACAAATACATACTAATAGAATTGTAGTAGCTCTAGAACAAATTGGCCTCGCGCACTGGCCTCGTCCATTAAAAAAAATTACCTCCGACGATTATTTCGCGTTATGTATCAGTGTCAGCGGGGCCTGGAAAGCTTATTAGATTCCTTGGTCCAACTGGGCATATCACGACTGCTGAAACCAAACGCGATCTTCGAACAATTAACAAATATTTGAATTGTGTTTGTACACTGTCCATCTATAAAGTAACACCGTTTTTAGTCATGCGCGAATTGGGCAAACGTAGTATTCTCTATGGACCTTCGTTAGTTCAGCCCATACCGTCCCAGTCCTCGTTCGCAGCTCCATCTCGGCGCCAGAGTCATTACGCCACCGACTGCAGAAAGGTAGCATCGAATGAGACAAACATTCAGGCAACTGATGCCTTTGCGGAATGGACAACTTTTTACATTTACTTGCATTTCGACAGTTCACAGCTGAGTCAATCGCCTATGTAATCTCTGTACGCAAAGATAAGCTTATTTATCTTATCGAAGTGTGTATGTAGAACATTTGAAGCCTATATAAGCTTCGGTTTCTCATATAACTAACCCTACTGGAAATGCAATACATACAGAAAAAATGGTCGACTCTTGAGCCGTGTTTTATCAGCAGATGATCGGGTTGACACGTCCATGACTCGATATCGCTAACTTCCGTTTAATACGGCGTAAAATTTTCAAGCGTTTTTCGTGCCTATAGTGGCGCTCGAGGGTCGTCGTTAACGGCAGCAGACTTTAAGGACATTCGAGAATATCTTCCAATGAACCGACGCAGTAGTTCAGATTGAAGGGACTACTATTCAAGGAATAGCAGCGACGACAGCGGTGGCACTATTACCAGGCTAAATAATAATAAAAGCCGTAACACCAAATCGACTCCAGCTAGCTGCTGTTGCATAGTTGGGCGACGAATATGGATACCTTTCTATTGTCTCCGTAGAATTTACAGGACCTGCTCGACGCAAAAAGCTGAAATATCGGCTGCTAATCGACTGGACGAATGTCCTTGTGTCTCGTTATGCCGATAGAGCCTTCATACTTTATCCGCCCTCGTTGCGTACTCGTGCCCATACGTTCGTGTCCTTGCATAATCTTCTCATTAAATCTATTTTTTCGCGCATACGTCCCGAGCGTCAGGCGGATAAATATTTACCAAGAAAATGAATATGGAAATATTGCCTCCAGGCATTTGCTTGCAACCATAGTATTCGCTCCTCGGCGAAAAAATGGATGAACTTGAGATGGCCGATGTTTTAAACATGCAACGACGGGGGGCAAACAATTACCGTTTAGTAAATATCTGCATGCTTCGCTGAGTAGATAAAGAAGTAGACCTAGCCATCTTGTTTCAATGCGTTTACGCGCGTATGTCACTGCGGAGTCGTATATGAACGTGACAAATAATGACGTCTTGTCTGTTTTATGTTACGTTTTTATTCTTCATACTTCAAATAAGATTGTTTATTTCCTGCGACGAAAGAAAAAAAAAAGGGCGAAAGTTCTCTCGTTACTATCTAGCAGTCGTACGACAGGTGATACGGATTTATGACTAGTATAGCTAATGGCAGTAGGATAGAGGTAACACGAAAGCCTGACCGCATAAGTCGTATACGTAATGATTTGACGTCACTTGAGAAAGCACTTGGGAAGTGTGTGACCATGTGGGTGCAATACTATATGTCATATTGTTTGGTTGGTTGGATAATGATCCACTCATTCGTTGAAGTCTTGTGTCATTTTTGACTTTCTGGCTTCATCCTAATCGAGACAGAATAACGGATGCGGTATGGTAAAACGTCGAGATGTTTTATAAGTTTCTATTATTGTATACCCATAGACATGGTTCTAGTACCGGTATATTCGATATTTGATAAATTCGATATAATATTAGTGAAAAAGTGCATTTTTCAAGTGTTTGACTGACTCAACGAGACGAGCAAGATCTAGAATAGAAAACCTAAGCCAGTCTTTTTTTTTTGCTGGTACCCTCTTAAAAAATTGATCACATTGTGGAACACATTGTAATCAACGACGCTACAATCGCCACTGGTCGCATCGAGATCGGTGCTCAGCAAAGGCGGAATTGGCCATAGATATTTTAAGACGATCATTAAGATTCGGCTGTTTCTTTTTCCCGTTGAAAAAATGTGTAGATTTATGTTTGAAGACTGACTTTGTCTCGATTATATATATTGCTAAACCGACAGGATCTCAATGCAGTGTCGACGAAAACGTCTAATTTAGAATGAAAACTTGAAATGATAAGAAACCAAAGCAACTTCTTCCATAGGTAACTGCGAAGTATGGGAGGCAAATAGAAGTTGGTTGTTATCTCTAAATTACTTGATTTGTCTCATATTTCTATAGGGGTGGAATGGTCTCTAGAACTCATGCTCGATAGATATAAATGAACTGAAACTTCCGGAAAAGCCGATCGCTACAAACGATGCCGTCTACGCTGCTGGCTGGTTTTTAAGGGGTTATACGGGCTTCCTCCTCTACTGTGAGGCGGTCCAAGGCCAGGACTCTTAACGAGGGGCTGAATGCTAAATGAGTCAAGCAGTATAACATGTTGATTAAAACAAATGAACGCAACACTCGGATACAACAATCGACAGGTATATGCTTTCGCACAAAAGACGACATTTAAAAGCTGTTAACGCATTTCCGGAAACTTCATAACAGTTTTTAGATAACTTTGCAAAACTTTGTAACTGGTATGTTAAACACACTGCTAGGAAGATAACGATAGCGCAAGGACGGGACTGGCGAATCTCTCTGATGAGATTAAGCCTGTTTGTCGATATATTACCTTTCGATATCAATGAATACGTTTAATTAAGGTTTCATTGGGTAATTTATTATTGATTTATAACAGTTGTATATTAAGCCTCGTTCCGTCGGAGCAAGTCAATGATTTAAACTTCTTTTGTCCCGAATCAGAGTATATTTTATTATTTAAACTTGCTGTTAAATAGATTGTATATATTATCTATATATAATTATATATAGAAGATAAACAACAGAGCTAAGATATCCAATCCATCTTTCGTGAAGCGTACTAAGAGATCGCAAAGCATATTGTTGTATTTCGACAAATTTACAGCCTATTGCTACACGACATTTGCGATAAGCCGCGAAGTTAACCCAGAGTCACTTGCGATAAGACCCTCCGTCAATAAAGTTTCGTTTCACGATAATATCTTCATAAATGTTATTGTTTATAAAAAAAAAATGAAAATAGTTCTGTTATTTACATGACAAAAGCTACCTATGTTATATTCTGTTCTATTTGAACTTGTACGATGTAATTATTGGCAATTAGATTGGCAGAATAAGCTTCCAAAGCCCCTTAACAAATCCCGCAATATGCTGCATAATAAGGCATTGCATAGTATATCTATGTTCGCATTAACACACTCTAACAACGTTTTGCAGCTTGGCGACGCAAAACGTTGTTAGTCGTCAAAAAAAAAAGAGTTTTTTCTCGCTTACCGAAAACCAGTCATAAACACAAACGCTTCAATAGTTACTACTTCTGCAAATTATACAACAATCGTTAACGTGTATGTTAAGTGGTATAACCATAAGTTATACTATTGTACTTTACCGTTCGTCCGGATTCAGCTTTCACGGACTCATTAACACATTTTGTCCTATAATTTTTTTTTTGTTATACCGTCAGTTATGTGTGTATACCACCAGACGTCTGATCAACGAAATTATACGCTGACTGTAATTAATACGGGAACGTTCTGACGTATCTGATGCAGCTAATAAAGTTATATGTACTATATATAGACTAATGGTACGATTCATACCGGTTGTTTAGACGTAATCCAGCCTGACATAATTAAACTAGCGAAACGCGTGGAGTAGTTCTACCAGGAATTGTTAAATAGGAACTAAATTGATTCTATCTTTGCCTGTCATTGATTCGTCGTCATCAGTTGCTCATCAGCGTTGCTGATCTATTCCTTTCTTTTCGATGCCGTTTCTACCGAAAGCCGTCGCACACAGATCACACCACAGGATGCGTCGGCTTCAAAGTATAGGCTTTGAACACCGGTAGCACTTGTATGGTTCTGTTTTCTGTTATCATTTACCAAGTATTTCTTCCGTAAAAACGAGGAAAATGACCAACTCGCTCTATTCCCTTCGAGATTGAACGACTCACTCGCTTACGTAGAGATCTTTAACAATGCGTCTGTACATCTACGCGTAACGGTAGCAACAATCCATCAACGACGAGACATAGACATCTGCGCTGGGGGCTTAAACACAAATTTGGCAAATTCATGACGGTTTTGGTACATGTTTGCCACACGAGACACCGACCATGAAACTCGTTCGATCGAGTGTCTCCACAAGCGGAACTATGAGTCAATTTGCACGATCGCTTGATTGCAAAAAAGGGTGAAGTGGCTAATTAACAAGTTACAGTTGAACAGGAGGCAAGCGATAAGCGGTCGGGAAAATAGCATGCAATTTTAGTGGCGCCTTTTTTCACACCCAACACCCAACTTTTTCAAAACTGAAAGCTGCTTCCGATTTTAACAATTAAACGAAGTGCTGATTTCAGTGAAGGTGAGATCGACTTAACAAATGCCACCGCAAGCCTCCCACTGAATGTATCAGGTTCCGAGAGCCAGGCCAACTTTGTTAGCACGATTAGCCCTCTACTAGAAAGCGATACCGGGGGAGTCTTAAGCGTCCATACATCCATGGTGCATATTCCATATGCTCTCGTTGGTAAGTATTGTGTTGGTAAGCAGTCATAGGTGGTCTGTAATATGATTTGGTGTTAACGTGAGATCTGCTATGCGATCATCGTGTCGGTAGCGTGTGCCGACCCCCGGGTACAGGCAAAAGGGCATCTAAGGCCAGCTCAATCGAAGGATTAAGTTTCATTCTGTTCCGATGTAATAGGCAATTCGAATTTTTTCATACCTACGTATCATACAACCGCTTATCTTAAAAAGTTTTTTCCAGTACCCTTCTTAATGCTCTAACTAATAATTCCGGTTGTATTTCATAGGAATATTTGCTTTGTTCAACGCGTTGTTTATGATAGTATCGTATTTTATCGACTCGAAAGATGTTACACCAGAGAAGCCTGCTGAAGATGGAGAAGTTGGTGTTCGTAATGCCTCACCGCGCTACCAATGGACTTTGGTGACTTTTATCGGGATTTATACACTAGTGGCCGTCGCTCTCGAGGTATGATCAGTAAATTCGTGCGAATACTTGATTACTCTTGCTATTATGTAGGGGAGTATTAATTAAAAAAAAAAAAAACATTCGCTATCTACGGTGACCGCTATCAAGTGTTCTATTCCTTTCTATACAGGATGGTCTAAACGCCTTCTGACGATTTAAAAAGGAAGTTACCTGGTAATTGGAAAGTTTCATTTGACACCAACTGAAGCTAACTCTACCCCTTATTGTACCAATTCGCGTATCGAATCTCATTTTAATTCTATATAGAATAAAATCTCTCCAGCTATAAAGTGAATTTTGCCCCACGTTATATATACAGAAACCAGCATACATATTAACAATAGTGAATGACCTAAAATCTCAAACAAAATAACAAGCAACACTGAAACTTGTGTTAGTACATTTCAAACGATTCTAATTATAATTAGAATAGTCCCTGTTATTCTATTATAATCACTCGTGTTTCCACTGACAACATTTTTACTGACAGGTAGTCGTTGGAAAGTTTCTCCCTGCGTACGCAGTTCATCACTATTCATTGTCACGATCAGCTGGAGCTCGTATCGTCTCGTTGTTTTACGTCGGCTTCACGTTCGGTCGCATGCTTGCTGTACCCCTTTCGATAAAACTATCGCCAATGCACATGATGAACATAGCCCAAGCCGGCATCCTGGGATCGGTCACAGTCCTCACCTTCATCGACCGTGACGAGCGTGTTCTATGGACTTGCTCGTTTACACTGGGAGCATGCCTTTCCCCGATGTTTGGCTCAGCGACAGCGTGGCTGTTAGAACAAGTCGCTCTGTCCCATGACTACATGTCGATAATCATGACAATGGTGACCTTCGGTGCCCTGGCTCCCCCACTTTTCGTCGGATTGTACATCGAGGCTCATCCGGATGTGCTTATGTACGCTGTTCTATCGGCCGCGTGCACGATGATCGTAGCATGCTGGACGATGTATGCTATAGCCAGCATACACAAACGAGTCTACGCCCAATGTTCAGTTCGGGACGATCAACAAGACGGTCGCCTCTGTGAGCAAAATGAACTCGCTGAGAAATTGCACCAGCGCGAGATTGAAGTTTAACTGTCAGAAACAGATAATTTTTTCCTTCGTTTTCACATGGTCAAATCTTCGGAATCGAGCACGAGAGATATCAATTATCTTATACATCCCACGGCAAGGAGGTGTATATGATAATTTTCTTCTGTGTCGCTGTCCTTATCTACCATCATGTGCCTAGGTTGTGCCCGGTCTGCCTCGTTAATGCTGTGCTTTAATATTACTATTGTTTTTTTTTCTTTTTTAATGAAATAACCCACGTTGTGGGATATAAGCTTAATAACTGATAACATATGCATTTTTATATTATGACCTTGCGTGTTTCATACTAAATATATCATTCTATCGCAGTTCAAAGTTTAGCCTTACCCAAACGAGCCTATTTGGCATGGAATTAAATGATCTGTAGTTGGAGAGCTAAAGAGTATGCATAGTACAAACCCTTGCTCGTAAGCCGTGGTTCCGTTACAATGAACCAATGACAGTTATTCGAAATGGGTCATATATGTCAATATTCAATATTTGAATAGGTGCTCAACATGGCCAAGCTATATTAAATATAGGCATTAATTAATAACGCAAAAAAATGAGCGGGTCTAAGCTGAGAGCAGGAAAGGCTTAAGGGCCAATTACTCGACAAGACACAACCAGGAAGTTTGTTAACTGTTATTTTATTTTGAACCTCACTCTACTTCATCCTCGACATAACGGACGGGCCGTTGGCAGTTAAGTAATGCGTAAATGATTTTCTTCGGCATCATCACAGATGGGGCTGCTTCGACGGAGCATAATACAACACCCCTTGGTAATAACTCTACGTTATTCAAGTAGTATTTTAATAGTAGTTTCGGCCTGTTACGTTCGGTGCTATTACTGTGTCGTTAGTTAAATGTTACCACTTGAAACTGCTAGACGCTTCGTCCACAAAGTTATGTTTGTCCACGACAGGCCTCGAATTTTTACTGCACCACGAAGTATCCGGAATCTTAATAAGTATATAAGTTACAACTGCTCCCTCACGTACACTGTGTATATGAAGTAAACTTCTTCCGACTGTTAATTTTTTGGCAGATGGAAAAATTAATTTTGCAGAAATTTCTGCTATACAATACTAAACTGAAGGCCTTAGCGCAACCGACTAGGACGCTAAATTGATGCTTGGCTAAATTGGTCCTTCTTGTTTATTACAGGATGACTGCAAACAATGAAAAGGGTTAACTGAGGCTTTCCAGTCTCAAAAAATAACTCTTTATATTTATGAATATAGTTTGCCGCTCATGGGGCATATTCTTACAAATACAAATAAATGCGTCCAATAAATATATTCATTAATTAATACTTTGTTAGTAGCGTTCAACTCCGCGATCCTCGTTTGTATTTAGCTGCATGATTCGTGAGCGTAACATGGAAAGCACAGATCCGAGGGTGGTTCTTTGCACATAAAATACACGACAACAGAGTGTGTAATTCATCACAACAATTTCCCCGTCTTGTAACTTGAATGAACTTTGATTTCTCGCTCAAGTTAACAATTAACATTACTTGTTATGGTTCGAAAAAAAGAAACAGCATTTACAGAGAGTTTCTAATAGCCGACGCTTAATGGCGGCTCGTATAAATGTTATGTTTTTCTATCGAAAATTAATCCACTTTCATTAGCTAGTCACTTACTACTATGCAACTCACGAATTCATAGTATAACCATATTTATAACGAACGGGAATCGTTGAAGCCATTAGAGAGAGACTTTTTCAGGGTACACTGGTGCCTCGTATTGTTCAATCAAGTACTTTACTATGAGGGTTTCTTTTACTTTAATCGTTTGACCCACTTTCCGATAATATGTGTCAGCGTTTTCTTTTTACACGCGTCAACCGAATTACGATGAAGAGGTCTGCAACAGAACTCACTTTGCAAAGGAATTCGGTGCCAAATTAGTCATCACAAGCCTTCATATAGACCAACGGTGTATATATATAATATCGGCGAAATTTAAGAATCTACCTTTGCACCTAGAATATAAAAAAAAGTATCCAGAATCCCAAAAAGCTCATCTTCGAACGGGCAAGCCGGGGCATATATAGTACTGTCGCAAAAAAACGATAAGGTGTAACATTCATATTTCTTTGTAGACATAGTTTTCCACAACCCCCGTCGATCTTCAATATTTGTAGGCTTTAAGATTTATTAGTCGTTCATCTTCGTTAGCAGCCTTCAGACTGGAGAATCTTTCCGTTTGTGTGATTCAGTCAAGTGACGATTCAGGAACAGGAACCCCTTAGCGCTAAGAGTTGTGTTTCATCGAATGCTTATGACCTATTCTCAATCGGTAATCCAGTTGTCACAATTCCTTAGTAATAACATAGCTCTAAGTCATCCGCTGTTTGTGAGCTAATTGTTTGTGGGCATTAAACCTTTCATGTCTATTTTTTGCGTATAAATTAAAATCGGTTAAAACAATCACTTCTCGAAATACTCTACAGGTGATAACTACATTTCTGCGATTTCAAGCTGATTTTCAGCTACCTTCTATGTAAACACCGTCTTTAGAAGGATTTACACCTACACGAAGTACTGTTAATTCTCACGATGAAAAAGCGCTAAAACAGAAGAATCAGAGAGCTAGATACCTATTCAATAGACCATAAGCTATTTTGTAAGCGTGTAAATTTGTCAGCGTGTAACTTACTCTACTCGAGGCGTCAGAAGGAGGAAAAAATTTTGAATAAATCAGTTTTTGTTGATATATTATATGTTTATTCACTTAATTATTTCGGATTGTCATAAGTATGCATTGTTTTTACGAGTAACCAACAGGATCCGATGTGACGAGATTGGTTGTATCGCAGATGTGTAGAAGACGACGCTTTTAGTCTGTTTCTCAGAAGCTACAAAGGATATAATGATTCCGACCGATCAATATTCCCCATAAAATGCTTCTCGTGCTGCCCATTGTGCGATAAGGCTGACCCACTCGTACCTTGTGTGTTCGAAGGCAAACACCAGGCTAGCCTCAATGAAACAAATAGATCGATATAGCCCTGCATCCAGGAAGACGACTCTCAATTCTGTCAAAAACGAAGTGTCATGAATAAAGGTCTCCAGTTCTAAAGAAGAATTAATAGCAACTGGGTACAGAAGCCCGCTTCAAAGAGGATGCCCCAATAAATGCACCATGCAGATTCTGTAAAGCGTAAGGTTATTAGATCCAGATCTATGGAAGCCGCTCGGGAAAAAGCGTTTTGTGTTATGAGCTGCGCTCAAGTGGACATCTTGGATTCGGACTATCCAAAAGGGGCGAACTAGGAAAGTAGATACATGAGTAGTCTCTAAGCGAAGCTGTAAACACGCAGCGAATCGTTCCTTCTGCGTTCTATAGCTTCCAATATGCAGGACATTGAGCATATGTAACAATATTTGTCGTATAGATGATGTTACACTACATACATAGAACGGTAACTTAAACAGCTGAATTTTGACGGGGCACACCCAGTGAAATATACTACAGGACAAATGTGATTAAACAATATTTTAAGAAAATCTGTAATTTTCTTATTTAAATTTAACTTGGTCTTCTCCTATCCATCAAATATTAGCTCGAACAAGAAGTATTTTGCTTTATAGGATGTCGGAAAAAAATTTATTTAGACTAAGGTATAATTAACTGGTAAGTTAAAACTTAAAAGCCATATTAAGCACAAGTTCTTAATGACTTGTCTCTAAGTAGACCTCTATATTTTTGAATTATAAATGTGAAGATGAATTTTTTGATTAGAAATATTTGGTTTATTTTATCATAGTATTCACGTTTCGCTGTTTTTTTCTTAAGCGGCCTCTCAAGTGACCTATGATTATTGTTTGTGTCTTGACTTTCGATATTATTCTATTTTCCTAGGTTTATCTATAACATCAACAGATTTGAGGCTATTGAATCTGGATCTGTGCATAAAAACCAACGGTTCCGAGAACCCCTCTATGTGCATCTGGCAGGCTGTTCGGTAACAATTTGCTCAAACAGGGAGGTCTCGATAGTAACGCTGTTAAGTGGCCTTAGGATCACATGGGCGGCCTGGTGCTCGATACCAACCTGTTTTACTCGGTTAGTAAAAATACAGTCAATTCGAATGAACAAACGGTAACTTAACGTCGTAGCTGATAAATCGTCTGTTGGAGAATTTATTTAAGTTACTTTGCATACTGAATATAATGACTTCGATGTAGATTAAGTTACTGTCGCCTATTCTTCGCACCTTAATGTCTCATGTCTTTTTCCTAAATAGGTTTTTCGAAATTGATTCAGGCATCGTTTCAAACACCCGAGCACATTTCGATTAATGCTTCATAGTGAAGTTCAACTTGTGGGGCTATATTAAAGTTTAAGAGACACTCATTCTTTTGTTCTCCTAAAAGCTCACAGAAAAGCCGCCATTCATTTTCGAGACAGAACTTTGCTGGGCGGGTAACAGGCACCCTATTATTAGTATACTCCGCAAAAATGTTCGTATGATGCCGTTAGACTTCGTGAGTGCTGCTGCACTGAAGCCCCGTAACGATACATCATCTGAAAAATTTATGGTATAAAAAAAATATATATAGAAATAGTTGATATTATTAGTTAAGCGTAACAAACCTTGGCTAGTAATGTGATGCCGTCTCCGAACCACAAGTCGAACATAGACATAAAAATGTTATTAAAAAAAAAAAAAAACTCAGAAAATTTCGAAACTGACACAACCATTAACATGCTAAGTACAAATACTGAATTATAGCCCAAGATACTTTCAAATACTTACAGCACTATCTTAAAAGTTTGAGGTCAGTAAAAGTTCGAGCGATTAATCAGTACAAGTAGAAGATATGTAGTCGTTTATTGACGCGACTAACTTAAGCTCGTACTGATATCCTGCCAAGCTACCTGAACAGATTTTAGGTTTTCAAAAAGGTATTTAATAAAAATCAGTTTCACTACGAAGTTACTCGAAGATCACACGAAGTTCTCAAATCAAAAACAATAATTATGACTTCACAGTCATAATGGCCGACTAAATTTCTTTGACAAGTGCTACAGGGAAGCAATGTAATAGGTAGTAACATTCCTAATAATTAAAAGTTTTCCTACTAATGTTTGACATTCTAGGATAACTGGCAAAAACGCGCCTATGATCGGCTTATTGAATCGGCATTTCAAATGGATTGAGGATTATTTAGGACTCGAAAGCGTTAATAAAAGCTGTACACAGATAACGAATCGGGCTCGAAAGGCTCTAACAAACCGGAACCTCGATCAATGGTACGAAAGTCAACTAGTGGATGCGAAAAAACATGACGGGAAACATTTCTTGTAAATATCAACACACTGAAACACATGATTCTACGAGACATTGTTGTCCATCGGGATAGCCCTCGGAGGATGGGACACAACCGACCCGAATGAACAAGTCACTAGTACTCGGCAGTCATTTGACGATGTTCTATTGGTCGGCACCTATCAGTGCTGGTAAATCCCGCGCATTTCGAACAACGAGGTAAACTGCCGGGACCCATTCAGACCGTCATAGCCAAACTTACTCCTCCTGCCTGATCGTGATGTATTCAGCCTGCATGGTTTAATTCATATCGTTAGTCTACTACGACAGACACTCCTGATATGATACGTTAGCGAATGAGGTTTACTCAGGAGATTCGTGATGACAGAATGAAAGCCTCCGAGCTCCTTGGCTCCATGGCTTATCCTTCTCGCCGATACGGCGAAACGAAAGGGACTGTACTTGAATAAGGTCTCGAGTTGGTGTCCGTCCATATAGGTGATAAAATAATAATTGTCGCTGAAGCAAAAATAGCTGGAGTGCCTCGCCATTTTGTTCTGAATTTCCCCATCATTACAGTGAGATGCGCGCACTTGGATTTGTAGCTGCGAAATTGTGTTGCTCCGCTTTTACCTTAGACGGTGGAAATAATCTTTTTTGTTCCCTAGAAAGGTCTCTCGTTGTAGACGTATAGGGAGCGATTAGCTAGAAGGATGTTAGCCAAACACATGTTGGTCTGGGTAGCGTTCAAAAAGTTTCGCAAAGCTGTCATGTTAAACGAAGTCGTTAACCTTCTGCAAGAACTTAATGAAGCTATTGAGCAACATGATAACGTCTACGAGCAGGGTCCGTACACAAACATAGTATAATTACAATACGATCCCTTTTTCTAAATGGTAAATAGTACAGAAATAGCGATTCATCTAGCGTCTAGGAGATGTAAATGTAACAAAAACAAAATTTATAGTTTCAGATATTGTTACTTATAAATGTGTTAGAAATTGTGAAACATCGAATTTCTATCATCCGTTAGCTTGGAAAACTTGACTAGCATCTTCAATACCCAGACCTATGTTTAACAAAGTTGTATATAGTTCTGTGTTTTGAAACAGGTAGTTGCAAACAAACAGATTGTGATATATTGAAGACTTCGATGCTTTTCTGTTTATTAGCGCCTCCAAAGTACTTACAGCCGATCCTACACATCGATATATATATATATTTATAATTCTATGAAATCGCACACCATTTCAATATAATAACATGGGAAAGCTTGACTGAGCTGTAAGCAGGGCTGTAATGTGACGTTTGTCTGTGTTTATATATTATTGCTAGTAGTATACAGGATGGCTAGTATAATCTAGGCTAGTGAACAGTAATTGTTTATCTTCGTTCGTATCATTATTAAATAAAGCTCATCTTCTGACGTCCTCGAATACTAAGGCTTTTTTTTTATTACAGTACAGAGGAAAATCGAAAGGAACAACGAAAGGAACGAAGAGGTTTCTAAACAGCCATCAAGTCGACAACAATTTAATGAGTTCTAGACCACACTCGCGTCCAAACGCTACTATGCTCGTACCATTAATTAAACGAAAACGCATCGTAAATGAACGGAATCCGTGTAAAACTCGTATAATGCTTATTTTATTATTTCTTATAGCGAAAAATGATTTCTTGCCTATATACAATTAGTTTTAATAAAACATTCGATCCTCTACACTTTGTGCTATTTTCGTCAGTCTTCTTTTACGGTCGCTCTATGGTTTTTTGCCCCTCTCCTCTCATATAGCGACGCTCACTCTTCGTCCCCACACCTTTCAGCTGGTTTCTACACGGGTCAGTCTCTAGTCGGTTTGTTCAGAGACGAGAGACGTTGTGTTACCGTTGGTGCTCTTCGTCGCCGTCGACATCCTGCACATAGACAGTAATATACTTTATAACTACAATTAGTCCGCATTTATCTTGTTTAATAAGAGACCCGATAACGTGGTAACAGTTGTTCATACATTATAAGTTACCTTACAATATAGTATACTTGGTTGCGTTACGCGGCTACTGCCGCACGGTAATTCTTCGCGCGTAGAAGTATTAAGTACACTGCATATGTTATGATGCTTAAGCTCCCGTGACTGATATGCGCATAGAGAATCTCCAATTAGAAATAAGTACGTTCTTTGCGTTGACAACAATATGATACGATTATATTGAAAACGAAACAAAAACATTTACAATAACCGAGGGTTCTTGTATTGAGTTTAAGGCTTGTTAAAAGCGAAAGAAGGCACCTGTTAAAACCTGGATACTGCAGTGGTCCTTCAATACTGAAAGTTACATGGTAAACTTTGGAGTTTCTAGCAAACTCGAGCAGGCCGACGGAGCTATTAAGATAAAGAATGCATTGGAGTAAATGCCAATTTGATCAGTAATAAGGATGAACAGTGTATTCCGTAGAGACAAAAACTCCAGGTGTCATAGCTATGATAGATATCTTTTTTGTTCTTTACTCGAGGATCGCTCTCGAAGTGATACACAGACCAGAACGTTTAATGAACTTCACAGGTCTTCTATGAAGCTAGACATCCCTAAAAAGGAGATGCTAGATCAGAGATTCTAGGTTCTTTTTAACTGCGATTCACTGGCACTCCTCCGTACTTTTCTGTAATGATACTACCTAACTACGAACTGTTCTGCGGAAAAAAATTCCTAAGCCACAATCAAACGATCGATGTCTTTATTCACAGTGAATTCCAGGGTGTTTGGTGTTAAGTGGTATTTACAATGAAGTGCTGAAGGCAATAATATTTTATAAGAATTAATACTGAATGGGACTTGAGAACCATTAGCGTAGTTAAAATTCAAGTCGATATATTTCTTCTGCCTCAGAAAGTTAATCTTTGTGCATATTTTTCAAGCTTAGTAAATCATGTTAATAAAAAATAATGCCGACTACTTTTTATTCCAAATTGTCAAATATACTTGCTACTTATGCGGAACGTCTTCGTCAAACAGTCAGCTTGTTGTTCCAGGTAGCATCTATTCGAAGAATTAGATTATCATTGAGTTTTCACATATTGGATATGCCACCTAAGGACGCTCTGATATTCAGGCCCCATAAATCAAATATTTACCCATGCAAAATTGTCGTTCCTCAACGTCGTACACGTACTTTGCCTTCGTGCAAATCACACTTAATCGTTACACGTATACGAAAGGACCGCTGTTCAAAGAACGCTTGAATCATCAAGCTGCATAATACAATGTTTAAGTCTATTTACATTTTTTTCCGCTGAAAAATACTATATATCATAGATATTACTTTTAAATAGCAGTAAATGTTACGGTTTAGTGGCAGATATGTAAACGATGACTCGGATAAATTACTTGAAAATAGAAGTTGTCCATTGATCCCTCAAATTTAATATATGGGATTCAGCTCCGTGTATATACATCAGTAGCTGTACATAGGTTAATGGATAGATATATTGGTATTGTCAATTCCCTATTAAACGTTTAGAAATGAAGCAAGCTCATGAGATGACTGTTTATATACATAGATGGCGAACATTAGAAAACAGAGCGCGTCAAAATACTGAACATACAAAGTTGCCTTCATGACCAAAAGGCATGCAACTGAATCATAAAATATATATTACTGTTTTGTGAAGTCCGACTTGTGTTTTGATTCACAGCAACTTGAGCGAAAACCTTCAGCCAAATATGTCTATAGCAATACACTCAATAGATTTCGTCCATTTTGCAGAGGAGGACCCATAACTTTCCAATCACGTTACGCGTCGAGACCTCACGATTTTCCTAATGCGGTCCTACTGTTACGTTGGCAGAGATGATCTTTTTGTATTTAAAAGAAAATCAAGTTACCACAACTTTACTGCGATAGGTATTTTTTATAGTTGTTGAATGAGACAAGGCTAAAGAGCCTATATCTATGAGTACAGATTCGCTTCCTAGCCAGCACAGATGCCACAACATATTAGCCAGGCACTACATTAAATATATATATTAATAGCTTTGCTTCGGTTTTCAGATCCGCTACAATGGCTTTAGAGTTCAATATAAGCCGTATCTGCCAAAATAAAAGAGTACACAGGCAGATCATATGAGTAAATCAAAACTAACAAGGAACTCGGCACCACTGACGGATTTATTCATGGTCACTCAAGCGATTACCTGAATGACGAGTAACATAATGGCCTCATGATTGCATTGTAGAAGTGTGAACATATTCTTCGAAGTCGTTACCTTCTACTTATAACATACAAGCTTTTTCCACATATTAATTATCTTTTAGTCTATTATACCTGCTTCCCGGCATTCCGTCGACTGTGGGCATACGTCTCTGCTAGCTAATTTTCTAAGTTTCTAATAGCTAAACTTCGTTACCTACATCTAACTATTTAAAATTTACCCCTGTTTAGCGTACGATGACGATTTACCCTTCCCTATTACACTAACTACGCATGATGATTCGTTATCGAGGCTTCTTTCAGGCTTTTTTCCCGATCTGTGCTTAATGTACTTTGCGGCACTATCACCTTGCTTGTGATATGTTCATGGAATCGCCACTGTGAAGGCAAGTCTGATGAGCCATCACTATTTGTTGAAAAGGTCTGTTGCGCTAAACGTTCCTGGATTTCTCGGATCTCTTTTTCTGTCAACTTGAGGTCGAACTCCTGATGCGACTCAGCCACCTCTCGTAAGTCCGCCAACTTGAGCAGAATTCGCGCATAAATCGTCTTACCTATTGTCGGCTTGTATCGAAACTGCAAATATCGCTGGAGTAGGAGAATATATCTGGAAGAACACATATATATGATACGAGAACTCAGTGATAATTTTCCAAAGTAACTTTAGCCTTTTTTGAGGGAATAATCTTGTGTTTCATTCGTATATGAGTGGCTTGTTTGAACGACGACAATGAATACTGGTTTCACTAAATGTATTCTATAATTGTTTCGAGATGTGGATTTTATGTCTGTGTCAGGATTATGTTACCGATATCACCATCGAACAACTATCATTTCATAGTATATGACAACTTCTTTCTATAGATTTCCACCATCGATAATACTTCTAGCAACAACAACAACATTTCCTAAATTATATAAAATAGAATTTATCTTTACCTAATTAACTATTAAATACTTACTTCGTCACCTTTCGATATAAAAAAAAAAAGTCTTCTCCCTGAACTTTTCCTAACGCTATAAGTTTTTTCATGAAATATCTTATGTTATTTATGGATATATTTATATGTATACATTTTTCTCCATTGTATATGTTTGTATTACGCGCGTATGGCCAAATGCGTCCGTCTATCGCACTCACCTTTCTTGTTGTTCAACGATGTATCCACAGTTGAGCAGACCCTTCCGATCGCCACAATGGAGACAGATTGCCATCAGAATTGTATAAACGACGTGATCCTTCTCTGGCATCGATGCCTACGATAACAAAAATAAATTTAGGTGTTGCGCAAGACAGAGTGCAATATTTTTCATCGTAAAATAAAACTTATATTGAACTTGCTGTATACAGACAAATTGTGACAAACTTCGCCACAAAGGTCGATGTCACAAATGATGCTTTGATCACGCTTTCCCTACCCATTTCTCATGAACTTGTTTTGTCGTTCGGCCAAGCCCATAGCAGTCGATTTATTTGAAAAAGAGGAGAATTTCATGTCTGTATATATTTCAATATAAACTTCGAGGAGTTTATTAATTTGTGTGGTGCGCAAAGTACTACCTTGTCGCCAACCACGTCACCTAGACACGCTTGAGGAGACTAGACAATTTGTCCTTATTACAATCACCTGTACTACTCATTACCATTTTTGTTTAATACTGCATTATCCATAGATCTGACATGTATTGCTCTTTTTAAGGCAAGTAGCTTATTATACCCGATTAGTATCAAGCCGCAAGGACGATATGAAATTCCGTGAAGCCATTGGGGTGCAGGGTCCCACAAAACCCTCCGAAATTTCAAGTAAGCCAGGCAAAAAACATATATTCAAATATTACTGCACTTTATAGAGACGTACCTGCATGCCCTTCATGAATCGTTTATGTTTTTCGAGGAGTCTTTCATCATCAACGAGTTCTCGCACGTCCTCGAAATATACAAGAGCCTCATCCGTTCGGCGCGAGGCTTCATGCGAGACAACCCAGCCTTTCAATCTGGCGTCGTAGGCGAACGCGCTGCGAAGAAACAACATCTCGAGCACCGAAGCCCGGAGCAAGGTTTCCCGATCAGCCGCAATCGGTATCACCTGAAATGACGCAAGTTGTTGTGCAAAGCACGAAAATTGTCGAATCGCTGAGAAAAAGAGCTGCAGAACATAGCTTCGCGTCACCAGGTGTCCTGTGGACAGTGGTTCGTGTAAAGACCCGCCTTCGCTTGCAGGTGTACCGCCGCTGATGGAAACTGACTCGCTGCATCCTCCAGCTGCACTAGTTGCTTCCAGAAGGGATGCAGGACAACACCTGAGATGACAGTTGATCAGTTCTTCAATTAACGCTATGTCTTCAGGTGTGAGATCAGAAGCTGTGGCTGAGTATGCTACCGATGGCGAAACAGCCAAGCTGACAGGGGGACAACTTGACGAGCGTGGTGACCCCGAAACAGACGTAGCCAATAGTGAGGTCGTCGAATCCAATCCGGTGGATAAAGATCCAACAGTTGTCGAAGGCGAATCTGTAATTCGGGTAAAACCTTCGGCGGCTTCCGTAATCGAAATTGGGTTCGTAGATGACGTAGCCGTCGTCAACTGTGAACCCAACCCCGGACAACTGCCTAGGTCGAAGGCAGTGCCTGAACCAGTAAAACCACTACTGTTTTCTGGAGTGTATCCAGTGGCGCTAGCGGACCCGACGGTCTTAACCGCTAGAAGACGCTGCTTTCGCTCTAATCGAGATTTCAACAGTTGCGACCGTTCCAGCTCTGTCATAACCCATCCTTTTTCCATGCCGATGTCGTTGCATTTGCGAAACCGGCAGAATTGACAACATTTCCTGTTCGGTATAGCGACAATGCATGCGATAAGTGGCGCCCTAGTAAGAATGAGTAACGTTCAAAAAATAGCGAAAAATAGGTACACGGATGTCCATCTACCTTACAGGCACACACAGACCATTTGATCATATCCTCACGTAATTGTGTGATTTCTTTACTAGTGTTATCTTTATATGTGGTGGCACGTACCTGGATGCAATGGTGATGTCACATTTGGCCTCGTAAGGACATTGGAAATTCTTATAAGCTTCGTTTTGTACCGAGCGGCGAAAAAAGGCTTTACAACTGTCGCACGAAATGCCTCCAAAATGATATGATTTCGCTCGATCACCACAAACACCGCACACCTTTGCCGGTTTCTTCGTCGTTGAAACAAGAACAATATCCAATAATGATACAACAAAGGGAAATTAGATTAGAAGTAATTTTACTATCCGTAAGCTAAATACGTAAAAAAGAGTAAATTATAATAAAAGTAAGTGCAAGCAACATGCATCGTTGCTTTTCTTCCCTACCAGTGTCTCGAGTTTCATGGCCGGTATTTAAACCATTGGGCCCTACTTTAGACGGGTAAGGTAATCCACAGCACGAAACGAAACGCGTCTACACCCAAATTTGAACTTAGAACATGGCACTGTCGATATAGTCTGAGGTTCCAAAAGGCTTGTTCCTCTGTACACCAGAGGATTAAAAGATCCTATAGCCAGCAAATTTTTACTTCAACAGGGATTCCTGGGATCCAGGAACATATAAGCCAATGACAGAAACAATATAACCCAATGACTGACTACATGCGCTAAATCGTAAACTGAAATAAATATGATAATTTGTCTGTACATTTATCAAAACACTTTCAACTTTTATAACTACCAGATCGATGTTCAATAATAGCGTCGACATCGGACTTTATATACATCATTTTAGATCGAAATTAATCACGATTACCCTTCATTATCCAAATCTATGATAATCAGCTTACTATATGAATTATTTCGTTAACTAAGGATGTTGGTCTTATCTTTGCCATCATGTTACATTATATTAGACCCTGCAGCTGCAATGTATCTGGCCACTAGCGAACTTCAGCGATAAGGCGATAAGACCCCTCGATTCAAAACCGGGCTTAAACATACTTTTATCTTATGATATTGAAAGAAGCCGCTAGCCGTCAGAAGTTGCGATTCCTAATTAAACGCCACTACAAGCCGGCGTAAAATTCAAGATATTTATTTACTATGATATAATACCGACTTTTCCCATTGGTAAAGGACTGCAGCTTCCTCCATGATGGCCGGGGGCTGTGGTCGTTGACGGGGACGGTGTTCGCGACCCGTGAGGCGATGCCGGAAATGAGCGAAACGGAAGCAGCTTCGCTTCCCGGAGATCTATCAGTGATGAATGACTTCGACTGCGTACAAATGAACCAGTTGAGCCAGGACTTATCTGTGACGCAGTTGGCTGTCCCCATTGACAAGTGTTGATCGCAAGCGAACCCAGGGAGCCACTTGCACCGACGGGAAGGACTCGGTCGAGACCACTTCCCACCCTCCGGGGCGAAGTCGGCGACGACAGTGGTGATTTCAACAGAGGAGATAAAGGATTGGTACCCCTGATGATTGCGTCGCTCGTCTTCGTGCTGGAACTATTATTGGTCGTCGTCGAGCAATAGGATGGAGTTAAAGATGGGGTGATCGAATGGTAAAGGCCGCCATTACCGCCAAATCCTGGTACGGCTGAAGGGAGATCACCAATCTTCAGGGAAGATACTGCCAACGGCGAAAAACCTAGAAACAATCGAATGAAGAGCATGTCTATCCTGGAATCGTATAAGGTACCAGCTTATTGATCTTCTTAACCTGTAGATGCAAAAGAACAGCGTGATTTGGATGACTAATGCACATCTTTTTGGCTGTGTTACCATGGTAACCATGAAGAACAAAAAAGATACGGTTACCGTGAAGCTACATCGTAGCGTTGGCAAAATGACTATTATAACAAATTAGGAAATACCTGTAATTATGACTACAATAAAAAACAGTTTAGCTAATGATTTTAAAAGAGGTGCTTATGAAATTACCGTTCTGTTTTATAGGTCTATACGAGAAATCCAGCCAGGTAAATCCAACAAGACCCACTCGGCTGGCTCACTTTTCCTGTAGGTCAGGTTGTTGATACTATATCAAAAAACAAGCGATTCCGAGGACTTGTTCACATGAAAAGGTAGCCGGAGAGTGGAAGAAAAAAATTTAGGTGGAACGCGAGGGCACTATCATAGATGACGGGTATGATATGCCATCTTATACAAAAGCTAGAGGAAAAAATAAATCCTATATTGAATGCAGCAGGCAAAGAATTAGCCTCTACAATTTTTAAGCTTTTAGTAGATTTTTCCAACCTATGATGTAAATAAGATAGATATAACGCATTGAATAACTGGGATAAGCAGCAGTAATAATTCCTCATATTTACTCGGCCATTATTTCATATAATTTTCTTTTCCCATACCTAGGTATCACCTATACATAGCCTACACCATAACCTGGCGTTGAAAAGGTGTTTTCAAGGAAAAGGTAACGCTTAAAGCTGGATCATGCTCATGATTTATTGCAGTCTAGATCTATATAAGCTAAACATTTTAGCCAAATTCAGGATTCATATTAGAAATATTTCGAATTGTTCAAAGTCTGAACATTCTAAGATTTCTCGACGTCCATGAAAGTATTCTAAAAAAGCTTACATAAGCCCTAAGTTTTATGAGAATTCTTACAACCTTATCTTTTAGGAAAAAAATAAGAATTAAAAAATAAACGATTGGGGAAAAATACAATTTCTATGTAACGGAAAATTATAGATTTCTTTTATTTTCTTCAAGATGGCTAAATTTATAAAAAAAAAATAAATAAAAAAAAAGTAAAATATTCAATTCACTGTGATACTTGAGGTGCATCTACCGATAGTGTTTACACTGCCCTATGAGACAATCACTGTGAAGCTCCGCTTAATAACTTGCATTTTCTCTCTTGAAAGAAGGTTTAGAGTTCTTTTCAGTTAGCATGACTCATTTTTGACAGAAGCATTTCTCATTAATGAATATTTTTTTGGTTTCACGAGCTATTGGTTTATTTTTTAGTAAACATTTTAATTAATAATTTAAACGTGACTACATTATATGGAAGCTTGTCTGTAACAAATGGTGCAGTCGCTGGAGCAATTTTAACGATTAGTTAATCAGAGTGCATCGATCGTACAGCTGCGATTGGCAAGTGTTCTTGTCCATAGTAGAAACAATGCATATTAAAATAATAGCCTTTTTACATACCTAAATTTCTATAGCCTCTATAATTTAAAATCTATAAACTATATCCTTATCCTCCTCTTGCCATTTATTTGGCTGTATATTCTCATAATTGATATATACAACGATAACCTAATTACAGTTTTATTTACATTTTTACCGTCAATATTTATAATGATTACCTTCGATTTTGCTCATATCAAGGGATCCGTTTATTAAAAATATTTTATAAAGAAACAGAAAAAAAAATAGAAAATTTGTTAAAGAGTACGCTCTAACAATAGACTACAACGAAAATATTAGGGTTAATCGAAAAAATTGGACCTAAAGTATATCTAGCGTTACCGACTGACAAGACGTGCAAAGAAATCTCCGAAGAGCCGTTCTCGATATCTGAATCAGATATTACAGAATACCGATAAAGAACACAACATAGGCATTTTATACATGAGCTACTATACATATATAAAATATGGACTTGGAGTTGAAGCCGAGGTGAGAAAAAGATAATAAAAGACGAATTCTAGCGCAAATTACGCAAATTAAGGATGCCTCGTAATTTTCTAAGGTGAAATGATAGTGACACAACACCGAAGCGGAAAAAGCCATAGATGATCCGCTGTTAGCGCTTATGTCTGACTTCACTTTTGAATTCAGTTGGCCTACATGTTCTTTTGTTTCATCGAATACAGCATATCTTCAATTCTAAATATACCTAACTTAAATTATGAGAGGTTCAAACCTATTTAATATCGCGATGCAGGAGTATGCGTTGTGACTTTCGTGTCAGGACAAATAGGTTGTTTTGTGGATTACCTCATTCAATTTTATTATCCTTATTATTATTATTATTTATTGTTGGACAATGACCTCAATAATTCCTTTTCTTAATGCAACTTAGTATCTTCTGTGAAGTATTGTCGTATCATTTTGCTCAGGTATCAACTAATGAATTACACCGATCACGCTCAAGAAAATAGCTTATCTATGCTAAAGATGGAGGTTGCTGGACTTGCCACACAGTATCCATATAAATTATGTGAGATATATAAATGTATGTATATATATGAGCACAGTGGGTGAATGGTGAAAATGCTTAAGGAATCCGAAGGACAAGAATTGCTAAATTGTTATTACGGTCGCTATAGACCAGGCACGGTTCAGGATTTACTGACAGCCGGAAAGAAGCCAGCTACGACAACGGCGTCGCCTTGGATACAAATCGTGTTCAGTGGCAATGCCGACTAGGTTCAAACGTAAGGTAGTAACAGACTTGCAATGGATATCAGGAGCATCTGCTATTATGAGACACTTGCCGAAAATGAAAGAATGAATGCATTCCGCGCTCTCGAGTTCATCATGCGGCGATCGAGAGCACTTGGTCTGGCTACTTGATGACAACTTTGTCATGCCTCGATTACTTACTGGACTGAGCAAACGAATATCCAACGGCCGTTTCATTTCGCTCATTCTACCGATCTATCTCCGTGTGGTAACAGGACATTCCATGCCCTAAAAAGGGTAACTGACGCGCAAGTATATCCCACTATCGATCTATTCTGAGAAGCTATCGATGGAAAAATTATATATGGAGGTGCAAAAGGCAAGCATCTGGCTGTCCAGGAGTTGCCAAAGGGGTGGGACAAGTGTGTAAAAAAGAATGTACTTCTATCAAAAGCTATTATTATTAAAAATCATTGTTCCAGTAAAGCTGTTCAATTATAGAATTCACCGATTATATATCTACCTTATGAATTAAACGTTACAAAATTACGATGCGCCCTTGATATGACCCAACTATTAGCCAGCAGTAGGTCTCTACCACATAACATTACTTTTCTTTTATTTTTATATTATATCTCGCATAAAGCTCTCTCTTCTCTTCTTTTATGAGATCATAACTGTAAATATTTAAAATGACCTCCGCCATAATCGGCGTGCAGATTCCTGTCAGCGTCCATCATATTAATGAAAACTGCCATTACACGAGCACGCTAGGAATACACGTTTATGATACGAAATTATTTTTACCCGCAACGTTTCGTTGATCTAATCTGTGTTATCGCTGTTGATGTTGCATCACTTGAAAAAATGATGAATGAAAGTTATAAAAACTCGCTCTCTTACGCTTTGAATAGAAAATACGCAAATAAATAAATGCAGGTAAAATTGGTGCCAATCTTGTGATAAATGTCTCCGACGTACGCTCCCGTGAACGCTTGTGCGAGTATTAGCAGATCAAGCCAGGAAAACATAGTAATATAATAACAAATGTTTCATTAAGACAAAAAAAGTTCTGCATACCTTTCGTTTACATGTCTGTAAGCCGTGTATCTTATCAAATATAATAGCTATAATAAGCGACGACGATTGAACTTAATAAGTGCACTCTACAAAGCGGGAACCAGTGATACCACCCAGGAGATTGGCTGGCTGATTGGCGCAATTTTTTAAATTGTTCACATCACGAACATTACGATAGTATCTCGATTCACTTACAGGATCACCCATTCCAAATGTATCAGCTTTACTCAGATGTTTGCGCTAGAACCATTTCACGGTTACAGACGATACTCTGATCACAAAAACATGTCAGCAAAAAATGGCGCCATTTCATAGTAGACTTAAGTCGGGGGATGGAGCCTCGTATCGCACACCGCACAAAGGCCCGCGACACCTTTCGGTGATCTTTGCGCTATCTTGCCCACGTAATCAGATCTATGTCTGTGGCTCTAAGCCCTAAACGCTGGCCGAGATATGGCCACACTGGACGATGTGTTCCCGTCAAGAAAAGCGGCGGTAACGTGTTTGTTTACTAAACCTAAAGATACCGCGTGACGTAGTCGAAAGTGGGTACAAACACTCGGTTCGTTTCATGTTGTTACAGACCGTTAGTCCCCTGAAGCAATGTTTAACTAATGCAGCAGTGGTAGCGGACGTAGGACTCAAGCTAAAAACCTTACAATAAAACCAAATACTCCAGCTTCAAACAAGTCGCAGCAGCATGCATTGTCTTTTCTCATAGATATATATGTATATATTGAGCTACGTAGGACGGGCTTGAATTGGTGTGGAAATCATTGACACCATGATGCCAGGCCCGTGTGATAGGATAACTCGAGAATGCTTTTTTTTGGTATGGAAAAGTTGGAGATTTTGCCGATACCTAATTGCCTAAATTTTCGAGTATTAAAATCGCTGGATATTTATCTATTTATGCTGTTTTGTGTGTAATGCGATAGCATCGTAAACTAGTGAGCTTTTTTCTGTTGTAAGCAAAGTGCGAGTAAGTCACAAACCACTTTTTGAGGTACGGACGTTTTGCTTTCCATTAATTAATCGAAGCTTTAAGAGGTACATGATGCAAATGTTAGTATATACCTCGTACGTTCCTTCCACGCGTTGTATCGTTGCAACGTTCCAGATACTAAAATCACCAAAACTGTTCGATCAAGTGCTACGTTTATCAAGGTTATCGTTGCAAACACG